TCAGCCATTTATTAATGGTCTCCTCCCAAAGAGATCTATCAGTGGCAGCTTGGTACCAAAATGGCGGTTGTCCCACGGCTCTAAGTGGCTCCCATATCTTTTGGATCAGCCTTGCAGCATTTGGCCAGAAGCCTAGTGAACGCTTATGAGTCGAACCGAACCTAGACAACCAGTGCTCGTTCCGGACAGCGAGAACAATGGTCAAAGGAGATTTGCGGTGTTCAGGGATCCTTGCTGCGTGGCCCCAAAAGCGCATGAAAGCCTGAGCATGCAGGCCTTCCCATCTGGCATGACCCAAAATTTGTGCAGTCATGCGAGAGGCTCGTCTTCTCACAATCCAGTTATACGCCAGGGGCATAAAGGGGTCTGAGGAGAACCTACACAACGAACCGAGGAATGAAGTATGGAGGGTTTTGAGAGACTGATGCACTGATTGAATTGGCCTGACGCATGCACTCATCCATCTCCATTTGGACGTCACATATGAATTAAGCAAATGCAATTTTTTCCTAATCGACCCTACCGGTCGTTTCAGCAACTTAAAGTGCCCCCAAAAGCTGTTTGTAGCAGCAGTTAATCTAGTGCTGAGAACCGATTGGCAATGGACCCCGAATCCAACCAAGACTCCTAAAAAAAGGAAGGAAGAGACATGTTTTAGTTGAACTCCGTCGATGAGGACAGGTTCAACCTCAAGGAACGGTGCAGACAGGACACGACATTTCTCAATGGAAAGAGTGAGCCCGATGACTTGTAAGCAATTCTTAACCTGTTTCAACATACGTGTAAGCTGAGCAAAGCTAGTAGCAAGTAACACCAGGTCATCCGCGAATAAAATATTAAAGAGCTTAGTAGAGGAGGGGTTCTCAAAGTCCAACCTCAACCAAGTACTTTCCTGTTCTTGCCAAAGGGACACAGTGGAGCCTAAGTAAAAATCCACTACTCGGGCAAAGACTTCGGCGCTGTAAGAGCTACCCTGAAGGATCCCCCTATGCAAGTCCTGATCCCAATTACAGTCAGCCATACTAATAAGAACCGAAGAAAAGGTAATAATTAAGAGTAAAAGTTCGGCTTCACGATGTGCTCCTAGGTTTTCAAAGAAACGAGAAACCGCGCAATGGCTAAGGTGGTCAAAAGCGCTGGTAATGTCGAGCTTAGCAACTACCAAGGGCTGATGATACTCACTAGAAAGGCGAATGCATTGTTGAAGGGTACAGGAGCCCTCAAGGGTTTGGGAGCCGGGGACACTGCTTAATTGACCTGCTTGCATTCCCGGGAAATGAGCCCTCATTCGGTATAGAAGGAGTTTGGTGAAAACTTTCCCAGGTACGGAAGAGAGGACAATGGGTCTGAGATCCTTCGGAGTAGAGGGAGCTACGACTTTGGGGATAAAGGTAATCTTAGAATGAAGCCATTCAAGAGGAAGCTCCTGTGACCCAAGAAGAATGCTGTTAAAGTACTCAACAAGGTGATCCCTTAGTCCAGACTGCATAGCGATCTGCAGAAACTCATAACTAATTCCGTCGACCCCACATGACTTACCTCTTTTGCAGGTGCTTAGAACAGTCTCAAGTTCTTCAGCGGTAATGAGACGGGGGGCAAGTGTGGGTCCAACCGAGTTTCTCCACATTTGGATAGGGAGGGCACGATCCAAAGAGTCTGGGTCAGAGTACTTAACCTTATAAAACCTTTTAAGATCACAGATTGCTTTAGTGCGCCCGCCAGCACGGGTCAGGTAATTACAGTGGGTTACCAAGGAGGATTGTCGGCGCTTGAAAAAGGAGATGACTCGATAGTCGCCACTAGCACCTCGATCCAAAAGTTCAGTCATCCACTTTTGTTTGGCAACAGCCCGCAAACGGACAATTTGTCTTCCAAGGTTGCGTGCTTCACTGCCAGAAAGGCGACGGCGGTCAGCAATCATAGAGCGGATATTGGGAGAGTCACGATAGCGACAGGAGGTGCCCCTAAAAGAGCAAGTCTTGGCAGCTGAAGCAAGCAACCCATTGGACAAGTCATTCATATTCAATTCCAGTTGCTCTGCGAGAGACTCACAGGAGGTAACCGCAAGGTCAGGGGAGACAATCCATTTACCACATCTATGACGGGCACGGTGTTGGGGACGGCTGGCACATGAAGGACCCAGCCTCTGGGAGAGGATCACGGCGCGATGATCCGAACCCAGAAGAACGTCCGAATCAAGAACCACCCGAAAATAGGATTCACAAACAAGGGGCTGAGACGAAAGGACATAGTCAATACGTGAGGAGGACCCCCGGGAATTGGACCAAGTAAAGCTATCGGGTTGCCAAAACTCAAGCCCATGACTTTGTATGATCAGATTACTAATGGGTCCACGTTCATCAACTGTGTTAATTCCACCATTGAATTCCGAAATTCCTAATTCATAATTGGCATCCATGCAAAGAATTAAAGAGTCATGCAGTCTTCTCGAATTCAAAAAGGCATCGAGCTCAGTCTGAAACAGTTGCCACATTTCAACACAATCTTCCCTCTGTTTATGGGGAAGGTGCGCAGTGACAAAGAACTGCCTAGAGGATTCGCCTTTAAGGAGTACACCGATCCCAACCGCAAAAACAACTACCTCGGTGACAAGTGGGAGAAGATGTGCAGGGAAACCCAAGGCAACAGCATGATGAACCTTAGGGGGGCGAGCAACATAGAAACCCCACATACCATCAAGTTTGATGTCATGAAGTTTCCATTCTTCTGTTTGGCCAGCATGGCCACCAAGCTCTTGGAGCCCCAGGGCATTCAGGCCTTCAAGGTGCAGCATATCCCAAGTGTCACTCAGATTAAGGAGAGTTTTGCCCTGGATGTTCCAGCTTGCTGCGTGAAACTGCGTATGCTTGCCTGTCAGTCCGCCTTAACAGAGGCACCTCCATACTGGGTATAACACTCATGCAGTGAATCTGCAGGCCTTCCTGAGGCCGCTTCAAAAGCACGAGCACACAAGAACCATTCCATATGGTTGCCTTTATTGTCAGGTAGGAAGACGTCACCTCCAGCGGGTTCTTTTTTGTCAATGTGGAAAACCACTTGTACATGATCAAGAAAGACTCTACCACCATTCCAGACGATCTCTGGAGCTGCAAGTGGTTTGTTCGTGTCCAACGGAGGAAGGGACTCATAAAAGATTTTAGCAAGGACGCAGGCACGGATCTTCGCTCTATCGTCGATTGATTTATTCTTTGTAGCCCACAGCCTGCACTGGCTTTGTCCGTTGATGCCACTCTTAAAGGTTTTACTCTTAAGGGCAGCAATGACCTTTGTCTGGAATTGTCTCAGGACTGAAATATGAGAGCCTGGGTCTGGGAACTTCAATGAAAAGCGAACAAAGTTTGTCCTAGATGCGGGGGCCCAAAAATCCTCAGCAACATTGTGTAAACCTGCAGCCTGCAGCATGTTCTTCACTTCCTCAAAGGCGTCACTCTTCCTAACATCAACCCAACCTCCAACAACAATCTGTAAGTCATCAACCTCACTGTTCGGCTCAACGGTGGGTACATTCGAGAAATGTGGTGACCTGGGGCTTCGGGGGGTACGCGTCCCTTGCCTGGAGGGGGTGGGCGACCTAGAGGGTTGTCTCTGACGTTGGATATCACGAATCTGTTTCTCCAGAGCCTCGATTCTGCTATCGGTGGCTTCATGCTTGTTTGTGTGTTCCTTCATCCCCAACTCCAAAGTATCAAGGCGGAGTGAGTGCCCCTGAATCTCATGCCCGAAAGCCAGAACATCCTCATGTGTTTTGTCTTGCTTGCTATGTAGAGAAGCCATGGATCCAAGTAGCTCATTGATCCAAGGAGGGGGGACTTGTCCATTCTGTCTGACTAAATCATGCAATGGAGTACAGGGGGCAGGGGCTCCCGGGTGCGGGGTTGGCGCAGTGATCTCCTGGTCAGCAACGTAAGGTTTGTGAGGTAGGGGTCCAGGTGAGTCATCTTCAGCATCAGCTTGGGTGAGATCAAAAACCGTGGGCTCATGTGGTTTGGCAACGACTACCGGAGGGACAGTCACTCCCGCAGCGTGTCCCAGTGGGATAGTATCCGCATCCATGAGTTCATCAGCATTACCAGGAGCTTCGTGTTCGAGTTTAGGCTTTTTGAGTTCAACATCCCTGCTGTCAGCATCTCTGGGCTCATTCCGTCGGGAAACTCTTTCGGTCCTTCTGCTTCGCTCCCTATCCCTAGCTCCACTAGACTCAATTGCAGCGGTCTTGCTAGGATCAGCCCTACCACGCCCCTGTTCAAGAACACTATGGTGTGAGGCCGCACAAGGAAGCCCCTCTCTTTCAGGTGTTTTTCCTGAAAGGGGAATGAAACCTGTACCTGCAGCAGGGTGCGGTGAGGCAGAGGGAGCAGCAGGGGCAGCACCAGCAACACCTTCAGCAGAGTGGGCACCACCAACGGTGGGAAGCACAAACTGTTCAGGTGTGGGTTTCATGCTTGCTTTCCTCTCGTCTACGCCCTTAAGATGGGGGGGTCCCCAGGTCCCCGGGCCAATACGTACGTTAGGGGGGTGCTCCTCAGTGGGCCTAGACATGAGACAACAGGAGAGGTTCAGGGGATGCACAGACGGCTCGAGCCGAAAACTGTAGCCATTTATAATAATACTAGTAATAAGAAGATTATATATGGTCCATCCGCATCACCGGCAAGCTGGAAAGGGGGGATAGACTCGGATAGACTGCTACACTAAGCATGGTGACTGGCCCAAGCCTTTTCCCAGACCTTGGGTTGATGTGACAAACTTGGGGGTTTGCTGTCAGGCAGGCGGGGGGGGATGCTACTTTGGACTTCACTTCTCAGCACTTGCGCTCGAGGAATAGGCGAGTTTTGGGGTAAGAAAAGACATATTCTCTTTGGACTTGGCGTACTGGGTCATGCTCCGCTCAGAACCTGGTGAGCCAGCACAAGGGACAGCTGTGGGACTGCACGTTCACATCTGCCTCTTCTGTCCGCTTTCAGGTCTGGGCTGGGCGCCGAGTCCGACGAGCTCGCACTCAAAGTAGAGCGTGGCATTGCCTGGGATCGGGCCTGAAGAAAGGCACCGCGGGAAGGCTCCGAGGCTCGCCGCCCTTTCTCCGCGCCATTCCAGCTGATTCCAGCTGGGAGACCTGCCTATGCCTCGGCTTCCGTAGCCCAGCTTTGGTGGAATCTTCAGCTCCCTGACTTCACGTGCTGGGTCGCTGGATCCACAGAACTGGTGGCAGCTGCCTCTTTCCACCCACCCTCATCGTCAAGATGCCTTCATCCCAACCAGCAATTACCTGGTCTGACTCGTGGCACCGGCTTCACAAAGCTGATTCTCAAGAAAGCGTCTCACCTGACCCTTGCCGACATTAAAGTCCAAGGGCTCGCCTTGCCAAAATCGTTTTCGGTGAAGAGTACGCTGCCCGCACAGACCGGCTCAGATGTCGGCCCCTTGGAATGGACGAATCAAAAACCTGTGCATTGCAAGCACTACGCTTCAAAGGCTTCTCGTGGCCCACGACAAGCAACTGGGACCTGTCCGTTCTCCAGCTTGCCCGTGTAATGCCTTATATAGATGAGTTGAGCTCGAGCGGTCATTCTGTCCGAGCTTACGAGGACGTGGCACTTTCACTTTTTGTCCCTTGGACGGGGCTTCGCCTTCCCCGACGACCTGAGCGGCAGAAACGCGCAGTTTCTTCTTAGCCTCGGTTGTTCTGCAGCCCGCTTTTCTGCTCCCGACACCACCACGACTTGTCTAGATGGCAAACAGAACCCAACAATCATGCATTAATCGTCTAATCAGGGGTCTGCTTGCTTTGGGTTCTGTCTCCACTGCTTCACTGCAAGGGCTGCTTTGCAGGCCCGTAGTGACAGCAGTTGAACAAGCTGTGTCTTACTCGGGCATGTGCACAGAAGGATCCTAAGCTGCACCTTGCTAATTATGCAGGAGTGCTGACCTTGCAAGCGCAAGAAGCCGGAGGCTGCTGCCCGCGGATAATCACTGCTCAGGAGTCCTGCATGGCAAGCTGAGTCCAGGATCGGCGACTAGTAGCCACTCGGTTGGCTTACAAGCTGACATCTCTCGCAGGCGTGCATGGGCTTAACGTCCAAGCACATGTCGAACACTTGTACAATGCTCACGGACTCATGACCAGTAGCACTCAAAAGGATGATTGCGCTCAACCCTACAGTCTCTGCAAGCTCTTGCTGGTAATGTACTATCACAGGTTGTTTTCGTCCTCAAGCCGATACTCTGCCTATTCCGGTTGATGGGAATGGGTTTACCAAAAACTCTGATTCACCTTAAACTAGCCACTGTAACGTCGTGAAATATACTGTGCAGCCGACCCGAATCCCACCTATCAAGGGCCGAAAATGAACAACCTAACCTTCAAGTCCTGAATTAGCACCAGGTTTCCAACGATAACCGGCCTTGAAATACAGTTCAACCGTTGAAGTTCAACCTGTCCCTTGAACACCAGAGATCTTTCGCCGGCGCTCCGCGCCGAGACCAAGCTCCAGCCGCCTCTCGAAGCGCTCAGAGTCCAGAAGCTGCAGCCTGGGCTTTAAGAAGTGCAGGCCCAGGTGCCTGCAAAACAAACTTGAGGGGGCGTGGGTGGAATACCGTGAATGGGCATGCATGTATACATACATGCACAAATACGTATATAATTACATAGTTCTTCCGGGCCGGCCAAAGTCCCTTGCCTACTTTGGCAGCAAAAGGTGAGACCGTGGGCACGAGGGGCGGCTTAAAATTGGCGGGCTCTGGCTTCATCGAAAAATCATTGATTTTGCTCAGCTGAAGAAATATATTGAGATAGAGGATCGGAAACCTTGTTTTCCCAAATATACTTGTCATTATTGTTAGTGTACACTAAACAGTTCCGCCTCGGTCCTCCGGCCCTCCGTTTGCCAATCTCGAACGTGTTTGCGGAGTTGGGTCTATAGCTGACTTGCCTTAGGGGATCCTCCTCACTAGTTCTCAAAATATGGCCCGCTGGTTTGATACGCGTCTCTCGCGCCAACTCTGAGAACAGTTTGATTTCGTTGGTGTTGGGTTTGTACTTCTGCATTTCTTCGTTCGCCTTCCTTAATGCAAAGTCATTCGCACTTGCTCGGTTCACATACGTACTATCTAGCCCTAGGATCCTTCTAATTACATAGTTACATGGTTACATCCATACATACATGCATACATACATACATGCGCATACATAAACGGCATGCATACTTCCTTCAAACATGGCAGTATGGCAAATCGATGGGTTCAAATGCCACTAGAAGTAGTAGCACGTGTAAAAGCAAAAGCTCGGTGGTCGAGATTAGGTCAAGCTTGGGCTTCAACATTCCCAAGCGAATTAGACAAGCCCCACCAAGTCCTCGGCGCTTTCTTGGTCCAGACAGACTGACCAGGAACTCTGTCCTGTCAGCCAGCAGCGTAGACCCTGCCTGTGGGGCTCCAAAAGTACCGATCCTTCATTCCCATGACCCCACAGCCTCCCGATCCCTGCTGACTACTTTGCAATTCTGAAGTGCGACTCCTACGATCTCGGCTGCACACAGGCACTTGCTTGCGTCAGGTCCTTCCGGTGCATCACCCGGTGCACCCACTGCATGCCGTCATCTCGACGTTCCAAAGCTCCCTCGAAGTTCTCCTTTCGAAGTTTGAAGAGATGAGGTAGCTCCGGTGACAAAATCAAGGGATACGCTTGTCACAGGGAACCTTTCGCAGCGGTAGCGACCGCGAAGCCGCTGTCTTCGTTCCCAGGATTACAACTTGCATTGCATCCTCGAGGTAGCGGTGGAGGTCCACAGCACCAGCAGACCGAAGCCTGAGTGGTGTAAGCTCTCTGGATCACAGCGTGGAACCGTGGAACCCTGCAAGAGGCATGCACTGCGTCATACTGCGTCACCCTGCCGTGAAATCCGTGAAAGCGTTGCAGTGCTGCCAGACACTCCCGAACTGCGGGCCCGACGTCTCGTAGGCTTTCCGCCTGGCTATATATAACTGCTACAGGATAACAGATGCCATGAATTCGCAACTGGGCACGATTGCATGCAAACAAGACGATTTTGTGACCAGAAACAGGGAATTCTCCACCACTTCGGTGCTGAGCTGAACTGGACTCATTGGACTTACGGTGACTTACGATATCAGTGGGCTGGCAGCCGTGCTGAACAATCCGAGGCTTGGCAACACGAGTGCCAAGACAGCTGATTTGTTAGCATGCTGACAGAATATTTGGCTATACATCCGGTCAGGTTCGACCTGTGCAGCTGGCTTCGTTTACGCAGGCTGCCCACAGGAGATGGGGAAAATGGCAGTGGCAAGCGAGTGAACGACGCTGAGATACGCATCCATAGGTCGAGTCCAGTACGGTAGTCCAGCCGAATGCTACGAAACTACCACGTTCAGCCAAATACAACTATAGCAACCTTTTGAAGGTTTTGAGGGTGCCAAAGACGTTTGAGTTGATCACAGGCCGTCTACTGGAGCCATAGGCCATAGGCTTGTCAAGAATGACTGTCAATCATCTCGCCAGGGCTCTGTTACTTTATGACGTGCTGCTGCCATGCTTGGCTGATCGCATCACCGACTAATAACTAATAAACACGCAAGATATTCGTAAGCTCCGGGCTTTGATCTAGGAAGATGAGCTTCGATGTCATTGAAGAGGGCCGGCACCTGGTGCTGAGGCTGCCGCAGTTTCAGCGAGTTGGCAGGTTGACATCGACATCAGCTTTGCATCCAGAACGAATCCCTGCTTGCACCCGGAATTATAAAGAGGGCAATGCCTGCAAGACGCACAAGAATAAGCAACTTGTGCCAAAGCTGTGTTCCCAACACCTACAGTGCAAAGTCCTCTCACTGTTCAGTCCCTGCCAAAGTTTGTTGCCTGGGCCTAGGCATTTCCGGTGGATGTGTATTCTGGGTGAACATGCGGCGTCCTCAACTCCTGCAGCCTTGACCAACACCCCAAGTTCAGCAGCCCGCGCACCGCAACATCCAGAAACTCATCGACTCTGCAGTCAGATCTTGTGGCTGTTACGGGAGGCCTCCCGAGCAGCCAGCAGAGCTGGCCCCGGATCTCTGGCGACGACCTCCGCAGGTGTCTCCTCGACGACCTTCTCGTCCTCCTCTGGCTGTATACATGCATGTGCTCCTGACATAGGGGAAGACTCTGCGAGCGAGACGGACAGACTCGCTGAGAGACAGAGAGAAAGAACGGGAAAGAATGAGAACGGGAACGAGAACGAGGGAGTGTGGGGGAGAGTGCATTCTCGACCTCACTGTCAGCATGGATCAAACAAAGACGGAGAGATAAAGAGGGAGGGAGTGGGGGGTCGCGTATACGCTACCTGCAAGAAACATCTCTGTTGAGAAACAAGCCCGACCTTTTCCCGGGGCATCTCAAAATGGGGAGCCTGCCAGAACTCTGACTCCAGGTCCCGCTGCAGCATCGAATCCGTTTTGGCCACCTCCCCGCAGATCCAGGACAAATTGTTGAGCAGGTTTGAACACTGCCGCTAGACGTTTGCAACTATTAATGAAACTCGGGAAGCCTTCCATCATCATCGATGGAAATCCACCGACTGCCGAACCCCGCTTGCTTTTGACTCATGCTGTCTCAATCGCCGTACAGTGCGGATGCTGGTCCAATGCAGGCGGCCTCCTCCAAAAGGTTGGCCATGTTCACAGAACCTCTGCAACAAGAGCAACCCTTGACCTTTCCGATGCTGCCGGATGCTGCGACCGTGAAGGTTCCAGGCTAGGCAAAATCTTGACCACTAGCTGCACGACAGCAAGACCCACTCCGAAGATGCAAGTTTTACTAACCGAGGTAGCAGACTCAAGACGAAGAGAGACTGAGACAGAGAGAGAGCGAGAGAGAGAGAGTGAGAGAGAGTCGGTTGGGTGCGGCACATTCATCCAACGCTTCTGCAAGTTTCCTGTGCAGGGATTGGTTTTTCAGGGCGCCAGCAGCAGACAAAGGAACGCACATTCGGATTGGACAACTCCGTGGGAACATGCTGCGGCAAGTTCCACAAGTCCGTTGGCCGAGTTAAGCGATTTTAGCCGGCCAGTGCAATGCAACGGGCCTCGGTTCTTTTCCCGGAAACTGGCATCTGCAAGCAGCAACTCGTCATTGTCCGCAGCGTTGCTGTGATTATCTGCGCTTGCATGGTGTGCATACTGACCAAAACACGTCGCACTGCATGCCGTACAAAGTCAAGTGGGCGAAGGGTCAAAGCTAGGGAAGGAAGCATAGCAGGGAAACGGTGAGGCGACTCCTCGAGCGAATCTATCGCAGCACAGCACCGCAGCACAGCACTGCGAATCACTCGAGTGCTGCCGAGGCTCCCCTAAATGCTGACAGTTGTCGCGATTTTCAGAAGCAAAAGAAGCAGGCCCCGCGGACCCGAGAATGCCAATACCCACAAGCCCTGAACAGGCGTCGCGATAGTCGAAACGCGCATGGTCGTGTGCAACCGCAAGGTTCGCTATGGCTCACCGCGCAGAAATGTAACTTATCTGAAGTGCAATAGCTAGGAAGATGCGGGCGTAATAATATCTTTGAAGATTTGTTTAAGTCACTCTATACGAAATGCTGCCAATTGCCGTTGAAACTACTGCTGGAAGCTATATAGTGCCGAATAAACATGTTGGATGAGGGACCTTCACGTATTGCCTCTGAATCAATCATGTTGACTTATAGGACCACGCCTGCACGCCGACCTTAGCTATTGCTAAACCGTTAAGAACCCACACCGGGTTGTCACCGGGTGGCCTACTGAAACGTGCAGGTACACCACATCTCACAAGCTCCACAGAGCTAGCTTTCGTGACCAAGTGGCAACGTGTGCACACTGCAACGGAACGAGTTGTTTACGGAGACAGATGCAGCGCAAGAAATACCCTCATCGGTATATCAAGGGAGAGTTTAGTAGAATAGCCTCTGGTCTGCTTGTAGAAAACGTGCCGAAGTCTCAAGCGCCAACAGCGTTGATCGTCGCGCATGCAATGGGTGTAGTGTAGAAGCACACGATGTGGCATAGGAAAACCCCGCTCTTCCATAACCCTAAACCCTACTTAGGATTTCATTGCTTTGGACCGTACTCGGACAAGTGCTCTCCAGACTCAGAGACAGAGGCGAGAACTGGTGCAAGAGTCTTCCCCCCGTATCGTGCGCACATCTGCACGGCTTCAGCATCCCAGACAAGAACGGATGCATTGCAAGGTCCTCGGGACAGAGTCGGGAACAAAAGAATCGAGGTTCCTGAGTTCAAGCGGCTGGGAGCTCCCTATCATCTTTGGCATGTCCGACGCTGCTGCATGACAAGTTGCTCAAAAACTTCTTCTGGTTCTTTGGGAATGACAATCTCCACCTCTGGAGCCTGATTCCGGCACGATACGCACAAGGCCGCCGTGCATGACGGGTACCATGTCTACGTCGCTGAAAAACTTTCGGCACGAACAACCCAAGGTCGGCAATTGGCAAGCTTCTTCGGACGGCACAGTAGACAAGATGCTACTGTGATCGTCAAGTCGATTTCAGTCACTACTGAGTCAACTCGAAGATCACTACGTGAGGGTCTAGGAGGCGTCAAGGCACCGGTTGATTCAGCTTTGCTGCCGCCTTTGCCCCTCTCGAGGCCACATCCTGACGCGCCGAGCTGATTTAAGTTGGCAGCGAAGTTTCGTGAAAGGCATGAGGCCCTGACACAAGCACGAAAGCATTCATGCACTCAGGTGCTGTGTGTTGGAAGCCAAGGTCACACTGTCACACTGCAATAACGACCGCTGCAACTTCGACCCTTTCCGAGCTGTCCAGCGTGTTGGCCATTTGGTCGGCGAGCAAGACTCTTCGCTCCTCGATGTTTCTCTGACTCTGCGCAGTCATTAAAACTACACAAGCCTGTACGCAGATGTGAGGCTAACCTACCTCAACCTCTGCTGGCCTTGCTGCTCCAAGAGATCTTCTCCTGGGCCAACCTGATCTGCACCAGCTCAGAGCTGGGCCGGGACTGGAAGGCTCGGGCCCGGACATCTCCTCGATCTCTCCGAAGACGACGGAGGGCGTCCTCGGCCTCGTCTCCTTCTTTTCCGTCAGCTGGATCCCGAGCCTGCCGACTTTAGGTAACAGCTCCGAAGAAGCTTAGGCCAAAGAGTGAGAACTCCAACGGAAAGGCTGGCAGCTTGCCTCTGCTCTCGCCTTAGCATCCACAGGATGACAATCTGCCAGCAATTGTTTTCGTGATTCGAGATACGAAAGCGTTCTGCAACCACAAAGTCAAATTCTGTCGCTGCAGCCGGTATTGACACGGAATTCGGCATTCTTTCCGATACTACAGGGAGCGAGCAATTCAATCACCCAAGTCTGCAGTGCAAACTCGGGCTGGAAACCATGAACCTGAACCGGACAATCCACCAGACCACCCTGCGTACAAAAGTTGCAAAGGCCGCCATGGGTGCCACTGAGTCTGCTAATTTTAGCAACATTTGTGTTGGTGCAGCTCATGCAAACAAACTCAGACGTCTCGCATGCCAAAGCCGCCTGTACTCTTGTCGGCCAGCAGATTCATTAATCTTAATTGCAATGAATTGCATCTCAGGCTCAAGGCGATGTGTGCAGGATCCAGGCGATGCACCACTCGTATGCGAGGAAACGTTTGCTGACCTGGACCTGGACTGAACCCCCCACCCCCTGCGGAGCTGCAGAGGCGAAGCAGCTTGCCAAGCTCGGGCTCATGCCAGGGAGTCTTGGCAAACTTCGAGACTTTTGCATGCTCATGGCCCCACCTGCTCAGGTCCGCTGGCATGATGTCTTTGCAAGAAGCCTTGTCCAAGAACGAGTTCAACTGCGCACACGTCTCGGAGGCCCCGACGTGGACAGAACTCTTCGAGTTGCCCGTGGGAGCGACGCAGGCTACGCCGGGCACATGTCTCAAGATGGTCTTGATCCACACAGCCGCGTGCGACAGACTCCCAAGACGAGGCTGCAGGTGGCCAGAGGGAGCAACCCGGTCGGTCACTACAAGGCCGGGGCAAGGTCACGGTACTGAAGGCCGGAGGCCGTTGTGGTCCAAGGCGCCTGCAACTAGGAGAGACATGTGCCCAAGCACCGACTCAGAAGCAGTCGCGACGAAATCCCGTTTTCCGCACAGTCACAAGCTGGGACAGATTGGTCTGTCAGGCACCTCCTCTGTCGAAAGTGACCGCCTGCCGGCCAGAGGCAGGCTCAGCGCCTTGAGCCGCAGTTGTTGCGAGAGCCCTTTTCCATGGCAGGAGAACGGATCTTCTGTTCCGATAAGGCCATCACCGCAGTCGCAGCAAGAGGTTTCAGCCTGGATGCAGCGCCGAACCGGCTGCACCTGAGCAATACTTCGCAGCAACTTAGTACATTCAGAGCCTGACTGGTTCAGGAGCTTAGTAAGCTCAAGTCAGATGATCTCAGAATTCTCGCCAAGCTTGGAACAGCCCACGGCAGGACAGAGCTGCAACTGCCCGGGTCGTTGCAGACGGCGCCAGCTTGGCCTTGGACACAACGGCCTATCCAGACAACAGCAGCTGCACCACCTCTCTCTGTATGTATGTGCACATACACACATCTATACATACATATACATATACATATACATACATATACATACATATACATATACATATACATACATATACATACATATACATACATACACATGCATATACATACATATACATACATAAACATACATAGGTACATAGATACATACATATAGATAGATAGATAGATAGATAGATAGACAGATCATACATGCTAATATACTGAGTGATAATTGCTTATGTTGATTTCTCTGTTTTATGAGCGTGTTTACTTATACATATGCGGTCTAAAGCACATCTTCGTGACGGAAAGAATGATGAAGCCTGTCAGATCTGATGCGAGTGTGGAGCCCAGCCTTGCCAAGACCCGCCCAAAGGCAGCGCGGCAGTTGCCACATCAGAAGAGTCCTACTCGTCCTACCTAGCTTAGCTTGACTCCAGGCTTCAGACGAAGCCAAAGCCACGGGGACACGGCAGATTTCGGTTTCCAAACAGCTGATGACCCACGCTGCAGTCTCAACATGTCTCAAAGGTGAACGTCGTGCACCCGATATCTCTGTTTTTCTTATGACATGCGCATGCTTTGGGCAAGATGCCCGCCAGTTAAACTGAATTTACAAGCTCGGCAGAGCTCCACACACAAAACTAGATTCAGGCAATACGCACCAAGAAGCTGGGTGAAAGCGCAATAGCATGAATGAAATGCTGAATTATAAATTAGGACTTCCGAAAAGATACCCTCGCAATCACCACAAGTATGTTGGTGCCCTCGAATTCCATCCCAGCTGCGCATGCTGCGCTGCTGGTCTAAACAGTGTCCACAAATTCTAAACTCATTCGCAGCTCGCGCTGCCCAGGTCCGCTAACGCACGATCTTTTTTGGCTGATGAGCCTACTTCAGATCAGCAAATTAAACCAATTAACGAATCGTGACGCCCCTCAGCAAGCTTCCCTCATAGGAATTGTGCCACCTCATGGTGCCCACGTGCTGTCCCTCGAGGCATCACATACACCCCGATATTTCGTTGTCTTTAGATTCGTTAGGTGGCGGGAGCTCTGCAACCACTAGCTGGTCTTGCCGAGATCGCAGCTTTTCTCAGGATATCTGGCATGATGTCAGAGAGTGGGCCGGCCCCTGCACAGCTTCACAGTTCCGCTTTGCCCGACAAACTCAAGCGCGCATGTTAAATGAGAGGAGACAGGCTCGCAAAGAACAGCATTCATTCTCTCTTCATCCTGGCGTCTGCACTTTCTTACTAGCTGTTCGGCGTCTTGTCTTTGCCACTTGCTGTGCACAAAGCTATGGGAATGGATAGGTTGACAGTCTGTCTACTCAACTCTCTTGCTGGATTTGGTCTCCTTCTAGGCCTTGTGCGGAACAGTAGCATGCCAACAAAGGGCACCATGGCTTAGGTGACAAATTTAATTGCTGGTTGAAGTGGAACAATCTCGGGCCTACACGTTCCGGCTTCGACCGAATCTCAAAGCATCTTATGCCTTATGCGACGATGGACGGCTCTTGCGAAGAGGGTGCCGACACCAAAGACTGCGCGACTACGAGACAACCGCAGCGTCTGGATGTGCTCCATGCAACTACGTAACTGCGAGTACTGGCTACGGTCTGCATGCTCCGACCTGCCTCTGGAGCGTATCCAGGCGAGCATTCGGAGCCGCCACCTGTGATGCCAGGGTGCGAGGAAGTGTCTGCGACGAAGTTCGGAGCTGAGCCGACCACCAAGCCGTCCACTTGGACAGCAAGATTTGGATTTCAGGCACCAGCGCCTTTAAAGTGGCTAACGAGTGCTCAGTGGTGGCCACGACTTGCCATTGCTCAAGTGCGGGACCGCATCATCACCTACTGGAGAACCTGTTCATGCCCGGCGAAAGTGCGGCACTCCACTCGCTTTTCTCAACATCTCTCAATGGTGTACAGCGGAGCCTTCGTGCATCTTCACTCCTTCAGTTCGTTGGCAAGTGGCTTCCCCACCTCATGACACTGACGGCTGCATCCAGGTACTGTTGAGGCTTCCCGAGGCTGCCACTTAACCCTGTGGGACATGCGCCCCACTTCAAGAGGACCTGCCGGGCATTCGTGATCGAGTCGTAGACAAGTCTCCCAGCATGCTCACCGCAATAGCCTCCACCAGGCTCAAGGACAGATCCACGCCCAAGAAACGGCTTCCTGCAAGTGCCGCACATGCCAGTGCCAGCGACTCGTGATGTCATGTGCAACTCACTGCGTGGCAAACCACCTCTTAGCGCCAGATCCAAAGGTGCCTGGCAGTCGCCCAGAATGCTCCAATCCTCCTTCAGCCGATCCCCCCTTCAAAGCCAAGCCACCTCGGAGAAGGAATTTCGGGAGTTCGGATCCGCTCGATGCCTCCGCGTAAGCTAAACTTAGCGTGCTCTCGGATTCCACTCTGCGGCCCCTGGGCCTGAGAAGAAGCTCCACGATCCCAGCATCTGCTAGACGCACTGCATCATGAAGGGGTGGGCTGCCCTGCGATTCGCTGATTCGCACCACTTCGACAAGACTGCTTCCAGCAAATGGCCGCCTCAGCATCGCTGCGCCGAAGCTCCGGATCGGCTCGTGCTTGAAGAAGGAGCTCCACCATCTGAAAGCTTGAGAACTTTAATGCTTCATGCCAGGAGATTAAGTGTGTCAGATCCTGCAACTACCACCGGACAGAGCTGCAAGATTCACACAGTCTCCGTTCCTGCTGCCGCTCGCTTGCGCGTACAAGGTTGGAGGAGAGCGCAAGCTGCAATGGGAGCCTGATGTTGTTTGACGCGTGGGCAGAGGTCTTGAATACTCTCCAAAAGCTTCCTGAGAGTGGGTCTCGCAGCCCCGCTCCAATGCTCGACAACGCTCGTTGGGTTCAGCCTCGTGACACTACATCTTCTACCTCGACTTGACTACTCTACAAGCTGCCTCATGATGCATTTTGCAGCTTGAGGCTCCGAATCTGCACGACCTGCAGTGTGATGGACTGTGGCTCTGGCCATGTTTTGCAGGAGGAGCCGCGTTGCAGCACAGTTGCCCTGCAAGTGAATCTGCAGCGCCACACGGATAAGATTCGTCATAGGTTCTCGTCTCTACAGCTGTACCAACTTAGACATTTGGCACCGCTAGCTGCATGTGGGTGTGGTGCTGAAACTGAAACCTGACATGGCCCCTCCAGCAGCATGCTCGGCTGGCTAGCACCGGTTATGAATACGAAGCTCAAAGACACAATGAAACATTACAAACAGCTTATCCAGCTCGGTTCTACTTTCGATCTGCAGCCGTCCACAACACACCGGGCCACCCAGATCAACATAATTCAACTCCAGTCAATGGGGTCGTTGGTCCCTGTTTCCTGAGCAGAACCATCCCCATCCCTGAGCATCACCGGGGCAGTGCAAAGCCGAAAGGCAATTGTTTTTGGCTCGCCCAGGTCAAGTGCCGGAGCCGACAAGCAGTGCTTTCAAGAGATGAGCTGTTGATGCCCAAACCGCAGAATCTCGGCGCAAATGCTCGAAGTGACCCTCTCCACGGATTAGGTTGCAAATACACTGATCTGAACCACTGCACTGTCGCAGCGCCGATTGAAAGGCCGCACTTTGAGCAGTTGGTACTATGTCATCGCCCTGACCATGGACAAGTGCAAAGAGGGGCGCGCCAGATGCCAGCCGTTCAGCAGAGACCTTTCTCAAAAGCTCTGTCGGATCGGCCCTCGAGTAACGCAGCTCAGCATCCTCTGCCGGGCTTGCAACGACGTCCAACACAGCACCGTTGGAAGCAGCCAACATGCGAGAAGCTGCGGATGCTGGCGGTGTGCCCATGAAGTCGCGGACGGCGCTTCTGCCGAGATTCGCCTCATAAGCTCCCTTCAGATCTAGAACACCCGCTTGCGCGACCACGATGCGTGGTTTGATGTCACCCGACACAGTGAAGTCGGAGTGGTCCAGAAGGCCCTGGATGGCCAGCCAGGCTGCTAAATGGCCCCCTGCGGAGTGCCCGACTATTCCTACCGGGAGATTTGGGTGAACCCCCAGTGAGACAGCGGCATCGCTACCGAGCCAGTTGAAGGCGGAGGCCACGTCTTCCAGGGTGCTCGGATAGCCGCCACCAGAGCCAACGGACCGATAATCCACGTTCCACACGCATAAGCCACTGCCGACTAAGTCGTCTGAGATGTCGATCATTAGGCTTCGGTCGAAACCTGCCTTCCAAAAGCCGCCATGAATCAACATCACCACACCCTTCGGCTTGTCGGAGTTCGGTTTCACGAAATCACCGCTTTGCATGCTGCCCCTGCCATATTGAGCTGTGTGCACAATGAAAGAACGGTCCCATGTTGAACAAACGAAAGCAATGCCAGAGAGCAGATGAAGCAATCCAGCACGCAGTCTGCACTGGGGGGCATGACGAGCCATGGCCAAAGTCCAAAGAGCGACAGCCACGCCTGCTGCCTCCACCAAGAGCACTTCGTCTCTGCTTGAAGTTCCGAGAAGACTGGGGCGGACGGGGCATTCTTTACAATTGAGCCTGCAAACTGAGACGCAACAAAGAGTCTCCTGCAGCGAAGGATTGCACAGTCGGCACGTCCGTCCTGGCGAACTGCTTCATGCAGGGCCTGAGCACATGTCCGTGGCGCACATGCAGGCTCAAGGTGCGAGCATATTGCAGCCGAAAGCAAAAGCAGCAGTGAGTGGTCTGCTCACGGCTTAGTACTCGCAACTGAGTATGCGACGTGATCGCGGGGACACGCGTGTCGCCGCCTCGGCAAAGCGAGACTGCCAGAAGCCTGACCATGTCCGTATACTCTTATACTGAGGTACAGACTGCAGTGCTACACGTAGAAGCTCTGCCGACCTCAGCATGACTCAGTATGCGCTCAATGACCGTAACTTTTGTTTTGCTGCAGGCTTGCAAGCAAGAACGCCAGGTAGTTAGCCACTCGTCCGCCAGCTGGGCACTGAAGTGTGGCCGTTCGATAACCCTCTCGATTTCAGGACTCTGCTGCTCTTCGAGGGCAACTCGCACATCGTCCTGAAACTCCTGGCGCGCACATGCCATCCACACACATCGCAGCAGCTGAAAAGTTGCAGTAGAGAGACTGTCCCGCATCCCTGCGGTTCGGTCCTTGCTTCGTTGCCTCGAGCATGGTCTCAAGGGAGTTCTAATGTCAATAAGTCTGGACGGCCTCGGTAGCTGTGAAGCCATGCCATGCCGAAGCTACGTCCCACAGCGCAACGGCACTCATTCTCAGCCCGGAGCGTGGAGATGGGCTTGCATGGCGTCACACCTGATCCAGTCATAGTGCTCGTGATGTGCGCAATCTTCGCACAGAGCAGCTGTAACACCACACCTCCCGACCCCGGTGTGGAAAAGAGTATGGCAGCAGGGCTGCCCCGCTGCCTCGGCACGCTTCTTCCCAACTTGGCACTTCTCCTACAGTTTTCACACCGAGCCTCGAGAACTGGCCTTCACCAACCAATCAAATTTCTCAGGCTGGCCTCTTCTTTGCCACTGAGTACTATCTAACATAGCAGGCATCTTGCCCGCCGCGTGAAACAGATCCATCATCCACTGCTACGTCTACGTGGTGCGCACGGGGTCTGTGCGCAACTTTAGGTACTGCTTCAACCTGGTCTCGACACGTTTCTTGACCTCGGCTTGCAGAAGTCGGGTCGTTTTCTCGAAGTGCCAGGAGTCGCCGAAGGCGCGTTTGGAGTCCTCGGCTGCCTTAGCCCAAGCTTCGGATCCCAGCGGAGGGAAGCCGAAGGCAGTGGAGTAGTGGTTGAAGTAGTAGAGCTGTGACAGAGACCTCGCATTTCTGCTGCCAGGGGATACATGTGGCAGCTTCCAAACACCCCCCAAAGCCCCCCCTGGCCTCTGTGCATCGTGGACCTGGTTGAAGACCTCCTGGCGGGAGTTCTTGTGCGTGAGCTGGAGGTGGAGCCGTCGTATGGATGCTGCCTTCGCACGCAGGGAAGAGGCCCTCCGCTCCAGAGTCTGTGTCAGCGTTACGCTGGAAAAAACGCGCCGGAGCTGTCTTCGCACGATGCTCTGGAGGCAATCTTCAGGAGTTGCGATTTTAAAAACGGCAAGCAGCAGCCTTATCGTCAAGAGACATGGAATCGGGTGCCGGCGCCTGGTTGACACTATCAATGCAATCCTGGTACTGCTGCTCGACCTCCGAAACCATTCCTTTCAGCTCCTGTCTGACTCGTCTTGCTCATGCCCGAAACAGCGTACAAAAAATGATCAAAAAGGCAGGCCCGGGCTCCTGCTTCGCTGTACCTGCTTGGGATCGCAGCTTCTGGAGCTGCTTCTGAAGTCTCGAGACACTTTGTTCCATCACATCAAGATGCTGTCCTCAGAGTGACGAAGAAACTGAAGAGACCGGCACGGCAAGAGACTCAATGGCTCTTTTTTTAATGGAAATGCCTTTCGAGTCGAGGATCGGCTGGTTTCGACCTCCCGCTCGATCTTGATCGCTGCGGCCTCGGCGACCTGTGTGCCTTCCGCACTAGCGGTCACTAGTCACACAACGGCTCTTGAGCCTATCGGTATCTAGATCGATCGCTCACAAAATCCACCTGTTCTGCCGACGGTCTCCAAACCTGATTGAATGACAGGAAGTCCCCTTTCCACCAATAAGATCAAGTGGCACTGCTTCTGCAAGTGGTCCACCTGAAACAGCGCAACATCAATCAATAAGCCTAGGAGAAGACAGACTTGGAGACCTGGGGCCAGACGTTTGAGCACGAGCCGTGTAACTCTGAATTGACACTGATACAACATGGCTGTCGACCCCACCCGACCTGCAGAAACTCGGCCACCTCCGCCGGGCTGATCATGCGAAGGATCCCGAAAAGCAGCTCTGAAACTCTGCAATCTCCGTGGTTGACCTTCCGAAATACTCGGCACTGAGCCCTTCTGGCCGGGACATGCTGACCCTAGTATTGAGATCTCAGGACCACGGCTCAGCCCAACTACTACAAACCCTCAGGTTGCCATCCACACCTCGAACAAGTGATCGTAGAGCTGGAGGATTTCAGTCACTGACAGGCTCAGATATCGGAGCTCGTTGTTCTGAAGCTCCTGGAGGGTACTCTCAAGCCTGCTCCGGGATTGCATCAGCCACTCAGCCCAAGAGTCGTCTGTTGCTGCACCATTTCGGCATGCAGCAGCTTTCAACGAATGCTCAAACCGGTGGAGGCCCAGCAGCCTCCTCCTCATCTGCTTGGACCGATTGTACTCGCGGTATTCCGCAATCCCCTTGTCAGCAAGCTCGTGAAACAGGATAATGGCCGCATTGGCTGTAAAGAATACAACCGATGTAAGGACGATGCCAAACGCCAGTGCAATGACTGAGGCGGTCTGAGTTCCTTCCAGCGCAAGTTGCGAAGTAATGCGGTCCCAGTCCATTCCATTGCAGGCAAGATAGAACTGGGTCAGCACAGAGGATCCGAAGTCACTGAATTGGATGGGCTGGGTGGGGGTGTTGCTGAAGACGAGATACCAAACAATTGCGAGGAAGCTCCAAATGCATCCAAGGAGGAGAAAGATGAACACCGGAAGCAGGCCGCCGAAGCAAGCCGTTACAGCACTGGCCGATTCGGGCATGTTCAACGACTGAAGGCCCCTGAGAAAGCGAAGAACATGCAGGATCAGTAGCGTGAACTGGCCTCGCGAGAACTGATCCGAGATTGATGGTAGCAATGCTTCTACGACACAGGCCAGCGCAAGGACAATGTCAAGCACGACGAAACCGGATTGCCAGAAATAGCGGTTTGGGGCCGCAGCACTACGAATAATCAACTCGAGGATGAAGAAAGCCATGTAGCCCTCCGACACAGCGTACCAGAACTCTTCGCTCCCTGCTTTGTTGGCAACCTGTACAAGTGCGATGCAGTGCAGCAGGAGGAAGGCCCAGCAAATCAGCCCGAAAAGCACCGAGTGTTCAGCTTTGACGCAGAACTTGTAGCAAAGGGCTTGTGTCCGAGGACATCTTTGGAAGAATCCTGGCTACCGCACAAGGCATGTACTTCCCTGGTCTCACACACTCTTTGAAACGGATGCCGGATGCCCTACGAACACACAACCTGCCCGGAATGAACGGCGGCCTTCCCCCCCGCACCGAGACGGAAGCATCTAGTTTGCATCAGCTGACTGGATGCATGGCATCAGACTTTTTTTGCGATGCAGGTTGAACTCCGTGTGGTGCTAGCTGTGACAATGGCCTGGAGTGCGTAAATGTGCTGAAGTGCCTTTTGCCAGTGGTGGCGCATTCAGAAGAGATCTGTTTACTGACCTGGCTCGACGTGAAGTTTCGGTGGCAGCTTAAACGCGAATCCAGTCGCAGTCTCTGTGTTGAGGATACTGGCTCAACGGACCTTTGTGTGTTTACGGCCGCATCTCGCCACAAGACAAGCCCGACAGGGACACAGAAATTTCATGCTCTGTTTCACTACCGTAGTTGGAATGCAGCAAGCAAGATAGCACTAGCAACGGAAGCGCGTTTTCAGTCGAAAGTTGAAAGTCCACGTGTGCCCATCTGGAGCAAGAGCCTGTCATGTAACCTTACGGGTCGGTCGTTAAGACTTTGCAGCCCTGGCCTGCCTGCTGCAGTCGAGCATCTGGAAAAAAGAACCGCCTCTAAACCCTAAACCCTTAACCCCTAAACCCTGAACCCATTCTGACAAGACTCCTCCAGACACATCGCCTTCGAGAATGCCGGTCAAGTCGCGCTTATCCTTTCCTCGACGTCGTGGATCGGCCCCGCCCTCCACGTGGGCTTTGATCACTTGGTCCAGGAACTGGTTAAAGCTTGCCTCATCCGTTTGAACATGCTTGGACAGGCCCTTCGAGGCGGTCGCTGCAAACATGTTGTCGGTGTAGTCGCTGACGCCGCTGGCGAGAGTCGTCAAAGTCGTCATGGTCACAGCCGTCTGCCGCGCAGTGGTCGCTGCAGCTGTCGCCGCGGTCTGGGCCAGTGCCCCGCCGAGCTCACCGATCTGGGAAATTATTGAAACCCGTCGGTTGGGACTCCGCCGCGCCGCCTCATTCGTCTCAGTCTCCTCCTCCCGGGATTGCCCTTCAGACTCTAGTGGAGAGTCCTGAATGGTCGTGGCGCGGTCTGATGCCTCTGACGTCTGCAAGGCATCGCCATGGCTCCCGCTCTTGGGCTCAGTCATGGCCCTGCAGAGTTCCCTATCCCTGCATGTGAGCCCACGAAACAGCAACGCGTGAAAGGAGGAGCATCGCGCTCTACCTCTGCGACAAGTGCACTTCGAAGGTCCACTCTGGGCTTCATGCGATGGTCCCATGCTGAGCTTTCCTGCTTCTGCCGACGCATCATCCCTCTCTTCGATCGCAAAGATGAAGCTTGTGGCTCATTGAGGCGAATGACATGTAGCATAAAGCGCTGGGTCGCATAGTATGATTAAGGATCCTTTCTGTTTCTTTGCTCTTCGCGGCTCAAGCCGAGCACGAAATCATGTGAAACCCCTGCATGCAGTTCAGCCTTTTTGTGGCAAAGTCTCCGGAGTAGCGAACTGGCCAAAGACCTTGAGTCGCTCAAAGGACGGCAGTGCACGAGGTGTGGCACGTTCAGCTAAAGCTCTGCGATCCCGAAACCCATCCCAAATTCAACAGGGGACCTGGTCGTCAATAGCCGTCGGACTCTGCACCTGGCACAGAAATTTCGGAGACCGTGGCCAGGTCGGCGTTTGCAAAGTCTTCCCCCGCGAAAACAATTTCACCAATTCGCTGCCGAGAGTTCTGGATGCCCGTTGCTCCGTTGGGCTCCGCGAGACAGTATTGTAACTTTCCACGCGGTTCGTTGCTTTTTTTGCCTCTGTCTCTCTTTCATTGAGCTTGGCGTGCACAGATAGCATGCCCAGAGTAGAGTGTAGAGATACCAAAATAAAGCCGGCTTAGGGATCCGCACGGCGGGGCCCAGAAGTCAGCCCCCGTGGGCCCGCTACTTCATAAGCGCAATGCTGTGGGCGGCAAACAAGCGCTCTCTCGCTGCCGGGACGTGACTTAACAGACAGATGGAGTTTCGCAGCTGGCGCTGGCGCTGGTTTCTGGATTGACGCTGACATGAAGGACCCGCAGCTCTTTCCTGCTAGCCGCCTGAGCTCGAAAAAGAAGCTTGTGCTACTCTGCTTGCATTGAAACCACCGCAAGGGGAGGACGAAAACTTGCAAGAAGGCTGTCTGCCTTTCTATCCTTTCTTCCCAAACTATGACCCCCTCTCACAAATTCAAAACGCGGGGCGTCGCCTGCCACGCTGGGCTGCTGCCGGGAGCGCTGCCCTGCGACAGCCGCCTCGCTTGCCTCGCTGGCCTCGGGATTTCTCCGTGACCAAGCAACGCGGTGAAGCAGCGTGTTTATGGTTTACACTCTCACAACTCGGACAAGCCAGGCTAAACCCTAGACCCTGAACCCTTGGAACACATTGCAACTTTGCAGCATGCCATTGATGAGCAAGTTCTTTGGTCGTGATGAGTTGTTGCTTCGCGTTTTCGTGACCCACCCCATCCCACCCCCTTCCCCTGCCCCTCTGGATCCATTCTCTCGAGTGAGGGACCCGACACCTCTTCTGCCCTCCTCTCCCCTGTGCTATGACCAGATCTTGCGCGTTGTGTGCCTTTGCAGCCGGAGCTGGCGGTCAACAGCACCTCTCCCCCGTCCCCCTCCTCCTCCTTAAATTTGAAATCACGGCTGAGACACTCTTCGGCTCTCTTTACTTGAGGCTCGGCGGGGGCCCTACGACCCGAAACGTTTACAATGAACCCAAGGATTCAAAGAGAGAACTGAGGGGCCGCAAAGCATCAATAGGTTCGTGGCAACCCCAGAGATGACTGCTCCCCGGATGACCGGTTACCACAAAACCCGTGAGCCCAGTAGGATGGCCTTCCTTCCAATCTCTGATGGTTGTGGTAGGAGTACAGTAGTCATGCCGCACCATTTGCATTGATTGCTGGTGGGCGTTCAACATAGCAGGTGAGGTGGGGGGGGGGGGGGGGGGCAACCTCTAAACGTTTTTGAAGCAGTAAACCCTAAAAGGGGTGACTGCTCCCCAGGAAACCCAATCCCCACAGGGGCTGCTGGTCCCAAACCCGAAACCTGTAAAGGAGATATTGGGTGCCAAACTCCTCAGTCTACGTAGAAAGAGTGACTTGGTCCACACTGGAAGTGCGGCATGCCGGGTGGAAAGCCCTGCACTCGAAACGACGGGAAACTGGTTCCCAAGCACGACAACTTCTTACAAGAAGTAATGGGTGGCAAACCCTACAAGCCGAAACCGTTGGAAGATTTGTCGTGGCAAACCTAAAACTCTAAACGGGGCCCGAAACCCTGACAGCTGCCCCGAACAAATCCCAAACACCAACAAGAGATGTTGAACTCGAACCCAAAGCCCACACGCTAACCCTAAACAAGCGACCGCAAACCTGGGTGGCAAACCCAAGACCCCAAAACAGCAGCAAGCAGCACGCCCGAAACAGGACAAGCTGTGCGAAAACACGGTGGCGAACACTTTAAACACAAGTAGAAACCGGTTCTCAAGTGCCTGTGATAAGAGAAGGTGGGTGCCAAACCCTTTTTGCAGCGAGGCGTTGTGTTGCCGGGCCCTAAACTCCTGCCCAAACCCCAAACTGTTGAGAAGGATGATGGGCTGGGCCGTAACAGGAGTGAACGGTTTCCGAAAATCGCAAATAACAACAGGAGATCATGGATCACCATCATCATCAGCAGCAGCATCATCATCATCATGCGCATTCTTCGTAAGCCCCAGAATGAAGATGATGGGTTGGAAACTCGACATTCGTTTAAGTGCGGCTGATTCCCAACAACCAAACTCAAAACGACCATGGAGGGGCAAACACTGAACCCAGAAGAAACGGTAACTGCCGGAGCCCGGAAAACCAGCCCCAAGCGGACATGACATGAGGATAGGCAGCCAACGCACAACATCGCACAACGAGATGGAGGTGAAACTCAGTCCCCTAGGCAGTCCTTGAAAAGGGCATGCCTTGCAGAGGTAGCGACATGCTTCTAGGTCCTAGGTCAAACAAAAACCCATTCAATAGATTGCAGCATAACGCAAAGTACACTCGTGATCACTCGACAAAAGCATGAAGAGCTGGTCGCCAATTAGAATCACGCAGAAGACAGCATCCAACTAAACTGTATCCTCGCTAGCTCGACCGTCCTGGTGTCTTCGTCTGTTTTCGCTAACTGGTTTATGCCATGCCAGCGAGACTTCCCATATCAATTGGAGTCAGTCAGCACCGAGCTCTAATGAAACCTGAAAAGACATGTAGTATGATAAAGGTTTCTGACTGATGTACAACAAAACACTACGGAGGGCTTGAGAAGTGCTTGTGCAGACATGGCATCGTAAACCGCTCGAGGTTACTCACGCTTTTGGCCGTAAGGTGTAACTGCTGCTAAAAAACCGTGGACAACTTGTTGGGCTACAGATGCACGGGACCTGATTCTTTCTGAAATTACACATTTGAGCCCGGCGCGTGCTGAGGAACTCCGCTGGCTTGGACCGCCCCCTGGTGCGAAAGAAACACCCAAGAGACCTTTAGAGATCTCTTCTACCACGACTTTCCATGCCCCCACTCCCGGCGTACAGAGGCTCGGTAACAATTCTGACTCATGCTGACTCATTCCACATCACCTTTGCGCAATCAGGTCGGCTGTGCGGGGTGCCGCGCTGCAGCATCTTCACTGCAAAGTACTGCGCGCGTCGCCCTTCTACCCAATGGCTGGCAAGCCCGCGGCCACGTCCATGTCAAATCCTGTCAGTGCCTGACAACCTATGCCTGCGGACATGTCGCACAGTTGAACACATGCTGATCCCCTCCTATTAATTGCATATATCGGGCATTGTGCGCATATGATTTCCGTCCAGTGCCTGCTTCAAGATCCACTTTTCTGATGAGGTCCATGTCTAACCCGGCCTGGCAACCAGTCAACACTTGTCTACCTCTGCGATATCTTTGCGTGAAGCGGGTGGTTGCAAGCCTTACATTACATGTTGTAAACTTGATCCCTGTCTACACCCCTGGCCTAGTGCAATTCAATCTGTCGCTAGCAGCTGCCACTGCTGCAAGACAGACCTATGCAAATGCTGAGAGCATCGGTGGATGGAGGAAGTCTTGCACCGCCCAGATGCCGACTCATGACCCTGCCCATCACCAGCACCCCACACCCCCTGTTTAAAATCTTGATGATAGCATCCCATGTGGCTGGTGCACAATTTTGTCAGTGGAACCCACGGCCCTTCCCAGGACTGGACATCAATGTTAAACAGGGGGGCGCGGGGCACTCGGGCTGTTGGTCTACTCAAACTGGTGCAAGATTTCCTCCATCCACAGTATCAGGCTCGCACCAAAGCAATCGAAACCCGACCATGACAGAAGGGTGGAGAAGTTCAGCTGCCACCACATGAAGCTTGAACAACACGTCCAAGAGTGACAGCATCCACCATACCACTTGTGCACATCTTGGAAGATTCCATCGGCAAGCTACAGCACCGGCAAGCATTTTCAAGCGTCGCGGCGTCACGGGCACAACGTCTGCTTGCGTCAACGGCTGCAGCATTGGATTTACAGTAGGCGGTAGTGGCGCGGTAGTGGTGCACAGAAATCTTGGAGTGGTGGTGGACAAGCACGGTAAATTTAATATTGGGAGTCTGTATCTGAATCTGCGCAGCACGCGAACTGGAAGCTCAGCCCAGGAGCTTTTGATGCCTGGATGGCAAACTATGCACATCGAAGCTTAAACCCGCCAGGGCAGAAGCCGTCATGGAGGATTCGCAGCTGCAGACTTGAATTGGAATGCTTGGAGGTGCCATCACTGGGGAAAAAGAACTAGTAACTCTGTGGGCCCTAAAGCTCTCCGATGTCGGTTCTCAAGTCTGCAGCCCAGCCTCAGGCTCTGGGCCGCCACGGTGCCGCTCCCTACTGAGGCCTTCAAGAATCTTCAAGAGGTCGACTTCGCCGACTTCCCGGACTTGACCGAGCCGGTGGGTGGCCGACTCTTCTCAGAGGCGCTCTTCGTTTCATCAGCTTCGGATTTCTGACTCTGCAGCAGCGCCTCCATTTTGGCCATTGCCTTGTCACAAGCTTCAAACATTCATGTTCCTCAGAAGCAGCATCCACACGAAAGGGCGGCTTCGATTGACTCTGGACTTGCGGCGCAGATTCCGCTCACTTCCCGCCTCTGCTTCGGCCTTTTGCATCTCTGCTTTCTCTTGCTCCCATCTGCGAAACCACTTCTCCTCGTTCTCACACCTTGAGGAGGGGGACCCCTTGTGCATCCAGGACTCTTGCAAGCAGCCGGGAAATTCCACAAGACCGCGCGTAAAACCCCCTCCCTAAAACCCCCTCCCTAAACCCCTAAACCCCTAAACCCTAAACCCCTAAACACCTAAACCCCTAAACACCTTACCCCTTTTGAAACCGGACTTGATGCCGAAACCCTAAACCCGGCTGATGCTTCCTCTCTTCTCGCGAGCTGAGCAGCTGGATGTTCAATGCGATGAAGCCGACACCCCGGGAGGCGAGCATTCCTTTGAAAGCACTCTTGGCCGGACCTCCACTGAGCCAAGACGGCTGCACAGCTTCGGCTCTCACACTCGGACAATGCAGGCGAGGCTTGTGGTCTTAAGTCGGCACACTTTGACGGGTTCTGCTTCAAGGAAAGGTCTTAAAGGTGGGGCTCTGCTTCGCAACTTTTGCTCCGCACGGCCAGGCAAGGATCGCAGAGTGTCTGCCTGGTGTTGAAGCTCCAGAAAGTGAATTAACACACGGGTTGCGGCGTGGACTCGAAGGTCGAAAAAGAGATTGCAGATAGCACTCTGACTCTGGGCTGGCCCTGGTGCCCCGAGTTCCCACTTCCGCCAGTTCCAACAAGGCCCGGCATGTCCACACATGTCTGCTTCGTAGTGACGCAATACAACTAAGGCTCTAGGTCCGCTAGGCTAGGTGTTTGCACCGGGACACGCCATGCCCTGCATCTGTTCGGGCGTTCAGCCGAAATTGGACCAACTGACAGCCATTGCTGCAGCAGGCCTGGCACCCTGCGAGTTTGATACGACTTCGCGCATACTGACAGTGTACTTTTGTGTGTTCCGATGAACTTTAAGACTTTGAGACACGACAATTCACAAGTCGGTGCCCAGATTGAAAAGCGCACCTGTGCGGTGCATGACGACTCTACTGCCCAGAATTCAGCGTCAGGATGCATCGTCTCAGGTTGCAAAAGCCATGAATACGTACATCACCTCGAGAACGCGCAGTGCTAGCAAACGGCCGTGAATGATTGAAGCAGCCTGGGCTCGGGATGTTCACGCATGCGACGAGGTAGCACGCGTCTAGTCTACTGCCTGCGAGGGTGGACAGGCGGCATCATTGAGATGACATCAATCAATGCAGTTGCTGCACAAACACAGCTTTCCAACAAGCTGGATGTGACGGGAAGTTGGGTCCCTCGCCCGCGCCGCAGCTTCAGGACCAACACCTCACCATGGTGTGTAAGCTGTAAGACGTAGCACGCTCATCACAGACTTGATTCCACCACTGCGGTGACCAAGGTGTGAACGGGGACGTGGAATGCCCCATTGTCGAACTACCCTTTGCCTAGCTAGAATAACAGCCCCTGTAGATGGCGGGGAACTAGCACTTTGAAGTGTCCGTTGTGAAACGCGAAAGATGCAAGGTAGCCAGCGTGCTGCCCAACCACCGATCACAACTACACTATGACCGCGACGACTTCGACTGACTTCGAGTTCTGTTAAACTCCGACTGCAACCGCGTTCTGCGCCTGATTCTTCTTGCACTCGTCAACAAGCTGAAGCACATCCTCAGTCTGTGGTCATCACGGCTCTTGCACCACGACTGTGTGTTGTCTACGTGCAACTCAGTCAAGCCGGCACAGAATAGCAGGAAGCTGCTACGGAGCAAAGTGAGAGGCAGTGTACGAGTAACCACGTAACATAGCATAACTCATTTTTGTAGGACTGCTTCCCTCACCTGACATTGTCTGATTCGATCTTAGAGCTCGTCCACAATCGAACCCGGAAACCAAGGATCAGGATGGGTCAGGTTGGAGAGCAGTCCGAGATGGTGAAACCGTTAGATTCGCCGGGAACAACACCTAGCCGCTATCAAAGAGGCCAAGACACTATACTACAAACGAAGGTGCATGGGGCAGGATACAATGAAGGAGTTGAAAAGAACGATTCGATGATGGCAAAATCACGGCAAAGGAGCTTCTGAAGGATAGCACATTCGCCGGCGCCCCAGAACGGACTTTCGTATAATTGCATGCAACATAACTAGCTGGTTTAAGAGGAGCATCCGTCGATGTGTCGCGTGAGCGATAACTAGAAGACAACTAAGCTCGCGTCGGAGTTGATGCCGTTGACTTCAACGATTCGGTCCCCGACCGTCACCTTGTCCTGCCACTGGCGGGAGCTCCATGGCTGAAATCTGTCGGCTTCATCAACCTTCGTTCAAACTCGGCCTAAAAGACAACCTGCGACACGCATTCACAAGGGCTCAGACACTGAATGTTTGGAGATTCAGGAAGTCGCTATACTAGTTTCCACGCAAAGGCCTTCTTGTTCGCATTGTTCCAGTCCTTGGTATTTTCGGCAAGAAAAGTCACAAGCAGTCAGTCAACAACCCGCTACTCAAGTAACGTAGAGCCGGAGCTAGGCTCAGTTCCATGACGAGGCCCTCGTTGATAACTTCAATGAGAAGCGTCTCACCATCCTGTCAAATACCAGGTTAAATACCATCTCTGCTCTGGTCCCGGGCAAAAGAAGGTGTCATTTTTATGGAGTGGTGTTGGATCGACCCTCTGCGTCTGATAATTTGCATAAGGTGTCGAAAAGAAACAGCTCACAAATGGAAGCCAGCCCAAGATGACATTTCAGCCCAGGAAATCTCGGAGAGTGTCACACGAGTATAGTCCATGCCTGGCCCCTTCCCAGACGGAGCGGAAGTGTCTGATGAGTGTCTGCGGTTTTCTACCTGTTGTCTTGCATCCGGGTTATGTGCTTCACAGGGCTAGCGATAGATTCCGATAGACCCTAAACCCTTTACAGCAGGCCTCGTGCACAGCAGCCCGGTCCCCAGCACACTCGCNNGCTCACTTAGACCCTAAACCCTAAACCCTAAACCCGTGCGAGGCCTTGTGGTCAACGTCGATGCCTAAGCGGCCTCCTGCTTTCCGATCCAACTGGATGACATACTCGCCGGGTGACGCCTGGTGGGGAGTCTGGCCGTACGAGTACCAGCACCGCAAACCCATGAGGCAGGCAGAAAGGCCACCTGAGCGGCCATCGGTGCGCTCACATCCGGGCCTAGCCAGCAAGTTTACGGAGCCTTGCTGACTTCGACATGCCATGAGATGCGGCTGACTATTCAACATCTCCTGTCCTGGAAGATCAGGAGCACCAGGGACTGCCTCCTTGAACATAGAAGGTATCAGTATTGCTCAAACGTTTGTTTGTCGAGGTTCAGCAACCAGCAGCCGACGAAAAGCCAAAGTTTCGCGAGCCGTCCCAGTCCTTGCGCGTGAGCTCTTTCTGCTCATTCTCGGCGCTAGCCTGCAAAATCAGGGTCGGAAAAAACTTGACAAAGGCCTGCAAGATGTTTTGACACTTACCCTCTGACAACTTTCTTGAACTTTAGCTGTTGGGTCCCCGAAAACGGCGGAGACGATTCGTGCGTGTTACTTTTGGCAAGGGATATGACCATGCTTGTCGGCCGGCTCTCGTAGAGTTTTTTGCTTTCGATTCGATGGTACCGGGCGCCGCAACTGATCTCCTTCTGATCCTTGCCTCGGCACCGGTGCAGCAGGCGGAGTTGCCCATGCCCTGAGCATCCCGGCTTCAGCATCTGCTCCAGTCTTGTGTCGTGCTTCAGCTAGAAAGCTGGCGGTCAATGGTGTCTTCGAAGCTGACGAGGCCGTGCATCTGAGGTCCCGGCGGAATTGAAGCCACCAGTGACCGGAAAGAAGTGGGGGAGGGCCGCTCAGTTCCACCGAAGCTCAAGCCCAACGGTAGAGCCGCAGTTGTTCATGCGGGTCTGACGGCAGTGCGACATTACAAGCCAAATTTAGGATTCGATCTCAGAGGTCGGGAACAGCTCAGATGCTAGGGAGCGTGGAGGACCGCAAGAAATGCCTTCAGTCATGCTGAGCCGCCACATGCTGATGACAGTGCGGCGGTACTCCCTGAACCTTTGCCTCCTCCTCCTCCTCCTCCTACTACTACTACTACCACCACTACCACTACCACTACAACTACCACCGCCATCACCAACACCACCACGATCACCACACACTACATTGCTACATCGTCATATCGGTACCCCATGCTCGCATGCCACTCCTTTGCAGCAGCTGCTGAGTTGTGTGTCGCGGCATTTGCAGTCGGAGACTATACCAGAAAACGCTAGACAGCATCTCGACTTTTGAGAATACCATTTGCTAAGTGTTTCAGGCAGATCCTCGCCGGCCAGCCGCAATCAGAATGCAGTCGGGTCTGGGTCACCTGCTACGCGAGATCTGCCAATTCGTTTGCCGCATTGGGCATTTGAGCTACAAGCTAGCTTCTTGAATTTGGAGACAGGCAGGTTCGTCGACCGCCACTCCTCAATCTGGGCGGTCACACGCCCACTGCATGCCAACGGACCTGAAGACCCATGAAGGGTTTGAACTCCAATTACCGGAGAGCAATGCGACGATGAAGCTTCGGAAACCGCATCGATCGAACACATGGCTAAGGATGCTGCAGGAGCTTCGGTCGGGGCCCCTCGCAAAGCTTGCTAACCTGCTCTGCAAAGTGGCAGGTACCAAGGCAGACGGGCACATTCACAGCTGCTGCTGGTATCAGGAAACTCCAGGCTTAGCACCTCGTTCATGATTGAACTCCGAAACCATGAAAAGACCGAGATGTCAGATCACATGAAGCTCTGCGATGCTCAGCTGTTGCCAAAACTGAAGCTAGCACTCGTTTCAAGTCGCCATACTATGTTCGGGCGAAACAACACTACATTATCTCTTGCGGGGTCCATGGCCCTAATACCAATTCCGGCGCCTGGATCGGGTAGTTCTGTTGGACTGCTTCCACATCCAACGGCCTGGCGCACGACACACACTCGACGACAGAAGCAGGCCTTGCGGCCGCTATGTTTGTTTGCGTGCCAGCATCTAGATTGTTCGAATGTTTATACTGACGGCACAACGGCACCTTTCAATCTCCCAGTGACAGTCGGTGGTCGCCCAACCCATCTCAATTTCGACAGTTCTTTTCGGAAATGGAGGTCCGAAATACCGCGGCGGCTATCCCCCCAGGCAGTACATGCCGGTGGCTCGGAATGCTGACCATGATGCGGCCCAGGAAGCGGTGATCGAATTCGGGCAGGTTGCTCCCGAGCCCGACCTGCTGGCCAGGAGCAAGAAGGGGCAGTAAATGTCGGACCAAGCAATCGGCGGGACCCTGGAATCACTAAACATATTATATAGGGGGAAAAAATATTTTTTCCCCTATAATATGTTTAGCTCTAGAATCTAGAATCTAGAACCAAAAATGCTTGGATCGCGCAGCCGCATTGCAGGTCTGATTTTTGTCCCACGCGCTGCGAGAACGCAAATCCTCCAGAATTGATCGTAACTGGCGAGGCAGCGGCCTGAGCGCATGTCTCGCTCGTACTCGTGCACCATCACACAAAAAATCCGGTTGAAGACAAGGACATTGAGAACAGCCCCAAGTGCGTGTATACATACATACCTACCTACATACATAGATAGCATTGCAATGCACGTGCAATACACTACCCTACATTGCAATACATTACAGTACATTACAAGACATTACACTACACTACAGTACACTACGTTACAGTACATTGCATTACATTACATTACATTACTTTCATTCATACATACATGCATACATACATACGTACATGTATGTACATACTGTCTTCCTTCCCTCCTTAGTTCCTTCATTCCTTTCTTCCTCTATATTCCAGATGCTCATCTTTTTGACATGAGGTTGTGGCTCTCGCAGTCTCTGTATGCGATTTAGCCAGGCGGCGCCACGGGTTGGAAGAGCTTGTTTCCAAGGTCCCGAACGGAAATTCGTCGGCAGTGCAGGAAGAGACCTTGGCTGCTTCCTCTGCAACCCTGCGATGCTCGCTCACACATGACACGCCCTAAAGCAAAAATCCCACATCTGCTGCAGTCTGGCACTACAGCTTATTTGTGCTTTGGCCTCTTGACAGCACTAGAAGAAGGCCGGGCACAACACGACGGAAAGCTTGGCATTTCTCCGTAAGAAGTTTTGAGGCCAAGGAAAACCTGAGCCTAGTCATCTGCCCTACAGATCCCTAAAGTGACAGGCGGCGCGAGCACCAGCTCACTGCAAGGCCACCCTTGGCTGAGGACCCGGCATGCAGACAGGCGTGTGAACAGGTCAAGATTTTGGCATCAGGTGGTCTCCAGATTAGGGGACATCTAGATGACGTTTCATGCAAGACCTACGGGCCTGAAGGCGAACAGATCCTGGCTGCAGGCCGGAGCTTCGCCAAGCGGCATAGGTGCGATCACCAAGAATGGGTCTGCCGATGCCGGCCAAGTGCGTCCTGATCTGGTGCGTCCGACCTCCAACGAGCTTGCACGAGGCTGCAGCAAGCGCTGAACGCTCAGAACCAGACAGGCTGACAGCAGCACTGGAAGCCGGGAACTGCCGGCCATAGGCTCTGACCTGTGAGGGGCTTGACGCGCAGAAGCGAGAGAACAGCGCCAGGATGGACAGCAGCGATGTCTTCGGGCAAGCTAAAGGAGTCCTGAGCTGATTCTCACAGCCGCAAGCTCTTGCCCATACATTGCAGATGAGGCACCATCACTTCGTACTCTGTGCGAGCCTTCACTCCCAGCTCAATGCACATTACAAAGAAAAGAGCTCAAGCACTTCACGGAAGTGGGTGTGGGTTTCGGACCGCCTCCTTGCCATGGCTCGCCCACACAACTTTCAACTGTGCTCCTCGGGACTCAGTCACGAGGCCGGCGGTAACCACACCTGCGACCATCAGAGGGCGCTTGGGATGTGTCTAGTATCTGTTCAGCTTGTTGGCCTATACACCGGCTCCCTCTGGACGGCCTCGCGTGCCTCTGGCGCCCAATGGCAGACCCGAGCAAAGGCAAACATACTCCTTCGATACCTTGCCGGAAACATGCTCTGAAGAAACTGGTTCACCCCGCTGCCCTGCTCTCCACCCACAACCCCGTAATCGTCGCCCAAGGGCCATGCGCGCAGCAAACTGGTAGTTCAACCAATTCGAGGCAGGTGAGTCAGAGTCGCCCAAAGCCACTGGGATGACCCCTGAGGTGGCACCTGCAGGGCCACCAAGCTCTTCCAGCTCAAAATGTCAAAAGGTGCGGTCATGCGCTGCGAAGGTCCCGGCCGTCCAGTCGTGAAGCGCGCGAGAGCTGCCCAGTGTAGCCCTCTTGGGTGAGAAGATGCAAGAGCCTTTGTAGGGCCGCCTCAGTGCTCAGCCCCGTGGGCTTGAAAGCAGCCAGCAGCCCCTCAGCCTGATCGAGCACGTGTACCTCGTGCTCTTGGGACTCTTCGATATTTGGCACAGCTTGTAAGAGCGCGCCAGGTGAGCCCTGTTGCCGTGCCCACTTCCTGCGTAGCCGGCTAGTTAGTTGGGCGATGGGCTGACCGCTTTGCTGCATGGCCGTGGCCACACCACCCCACAAGATCCCATTCACCGCCAGAGGCAGCGCCTCCATGTCTAAAGCAAGGCTCAATGCTTGGCTCCAGGACCGACCACGTATGCAAGAGCTGATGACGCTGTGAAAACAAATTTCATCTTTCTGCAGGTCTCGAATGTCCATGTCTCGAAAGCATAGAAGTGCTTTCTGCCATTCTCTGGCCTTCTCACAAGCACTGATCACTGCTGTGAAGCAGATCTTATCTGGCTTCAATGCCGGCACTGGCGGATGAAACAGTATGCTGATAGCCATCTGCCACTGCTTGCCTTTCTCACATGCACTGAGAAGAGTACTGAACGTAATTACACTTGGTGGCACCGTGGTTGTGCACATCTCTTGCAACAGATGCAAAGACGAATTCCAAAGGCCGGCTGATGCACATGCGCTGGAAGCGGCATTGTACGAGACGCAATCCGGCATGACATCATCCAGACGCATTTCCTTCAAAAGCTCGAGTGCTACGGACCACTCGCCCCCTTTGGCGCAAGCACTTATGGCGGCGTTGTACGTCACCTCGCTTGGGAAAACTTCCTCGTCCTTCATGCTGCCTAGAAGCGTCAATGCGATCTTCCACTTCCCTCGCTTCTCACATGCACTGATGACGCTGGTATAATGGAAGCAGTTGACGTCCAGGCTGTGATGCTGCATGAACCGGGTGACCTTCAAAGCCACATCCCACAGACCGCGCTTGCCAAGTCCTGCTAAAACCGCAGTGGCTGCCTTCGGATTCCGTTCCCAGGAGGCCAGACCAGGCCAACAAGCACTGAAAACCGCTGCTTGTGGAGGATGAGGTCCCAAGTCAAAAAGCGCCTTCAAGATGGCCTCGGCAGATTTTCCTCGACCCTTCTTGCTTTTGCGGCCTATGCGAAGATCTTGGCGTCTGCTGTCGCCAAGCTCTTCGCGGAGCCAAGGCACGGCTCTCCGAGCAAGCGCATGCGGCGCTTCATGCCGGACTTCCCTTGTGCAGCCGGTTGCAGCATGAACTTGGCCGCGCATCTCGCATTCGGGCCGTGCTGCGCAATTCGCAAGGTCCAGGATTAGGACTAGGAACACTCAATCACTGACCTCATGCTTTCGATCACCTAAGCCCGCGGCCATGTGCAAGAAGCTGTCCAAGCGCTCCACGAAAGTACGGCTCTCCAGCCAAACATCAATGCAAAGCCTGTCACGACAGGCTCAGTCAGATCCGCGATCCCCGCCCTTCGTGGACCCCAAGCTCCCAGCGTCTCTGGGATCGGACCCGGAGCCATGGGCCTCAGCAAAGCTCACCGGCCCCAGCTTTTCTCGTGCGAAATAGAAGAACAAACTAGCACAAGAGCTGCACGAGTCCGGAAGGCGTCCGGGGATCCGACAGGCTCAAATCCTGTCTATCTTAAATTTTAGACATTTCAGCAACTATACTATCTAAGTATAGCAACATAGGCAGGTGCTTGGATCTGCGAGATGCACCGGTCCTCGTTGAAGGCGCAGCTGAGGCTTGCTGAGTATCTCCCATCGCTGGAAATGACTTTGCTGTACTTGAGCTCCTTGTGGTGAATTCGTGCGGCACCGGTCAAGCCGATTAATGTAAAACAAGTCCACGGCCTGCTGCGCTGTAGCGGGCTGGCTGTCTGACCACCCTGAGCTCGCTCGCTGGGGAGGGGTCCGCTGGGCCCTTTGGGTCGGGTGAATGGTCAAAACCGTGCTAGGACCAGGGCTCACTGGTGCGCGCCCACCCGGCTGCAACATTATCCGGAAGCCGCTGGTCTCAAACCTCGGACTCTGTGGGCTTTGAGTCAGTGTCAGAGGAAAAACGTGGAGCCAAAAAACTGAGAGTCCCACAGGCCAGGGGCTCCGAAACCGAAGTTTTCAAACCTCGGTCATCAATCTCGGTCAATGCTGACACTGACACCTGCGTTGGCCTGAATAAATAGAATAAATCCCTTTGGCATCATTGCCAATTGAACCCTTCAGTCTCCACCCCACCGCCCAACCACGCCTCTCAACTCTGTAAAGCTACAAGTTGTTGCAGCTACGCAAGAGATAGCTTCCACGTGGGCGAACCCGAAACCCTATCTGTAACTATAGACCCGATTTTCTAATCTTTAAATCCTCCCTCTCTTCTTCCACCAGCTCCCCTTGACCCGTCTCTCTCTCTCTCTCTCTCTCTCTCTTTCTTTTTTAAACCCTTCCAATACCCTTTGTCGCGTCAGGACTTGGTCGCCGGGGCACCCTAAAATTTTTTAAACCCTAAGCCCTAGAAAATTGAACCCAAATTCCCAAACGATCTCTCTCTGAACCCAGAGTTGTTTTTGCTTCAAGGCCTTTAGCCCTAAAGCATTATATCCTAAGCCACCTAACCGACCTCTTTTTGCACAGCCGGGCTCCGTCTGGGTCGGTCTTGTAACCCGTACTGCAGTCCAGGCATATGGCGAGCCTGAGGCCTAAGGGCCCAAACACCTCAAACCTTGAAGCGCAAAAAATCTTTAGTGTTCGACGGTCTGCCTGATCCACGCTCAATGCTCGGCCACGTGCTCTGAAGCTACTTGCATAATTTCAATCTGCTGTCGCAAGGGTCTTCCGGAAATCTCGTGCTTTCCTCTTGCATGCGTTCTACTGAGCACAATGCTCCGACAGACTCGCACCTCCAAGCCCGCATCTTCGTAACTATGACGCAAGTCTCCTGAAGGGGCCCCTCTGCTATGCGGCTATATACTCTCCGATGGAGATGAGGCAGGCGCTGAAGGATGCCAACATGGACTCGCAGCTTCGGCACACCTTGGGCCACGCGGTACCACTTAGGCTTCAAGACGGATCTGAGATGTGTGGATGTTGTCACATCGACACCGGCAACCTCTACTTGCAAGCTTGGCCGAGAGGATGCCTTGAGGCTGCAGCCAAAGCAACAGAAGCCCGAAAAATCTTTGCAGCCCTCGCCGGGCCTGCACGGCGCTCCGGGCCCTCCTGGACCTGGTGAGTCCTGAGTTCGGCCTCAGCAGACGGCGCGCATCGAACAGCACAAAATTGCCACTTGCTGCTTGAATGCTCACATGCAGCCGCAACCTTAAACGGTTTTCTGTCAAGTTCAAGCGATCAGTGGCAAATCTCCGCAGTATCCACACAGCCAGCAGTTGAATCACAAAGCTTGGCTCCTCTGCAGCTGTGCTCGACAATTCTCTGCTGTGCTCTGCAGGTAAGAGCAGCAAGCGCAACTCACGGCTCTGGAGGATCAGGATCGTCGTAGAGCGACCTGGACGAACGCTTTGTCCAGCGCTCGCCAGCCTCGTCCAGGTCCTCAAGGATGCTTTCAAGTTGCTAGGCCTGTCTGGGCCACGACAGATCGCTATGGCCTATAGGTAAATGGCTGGAGGTTTCTGCGCCGTCACTGCCTTACCCTCAAGCTTCTAGGAATAAGATATGCACTGGCAGTCCTCCCCGATAGGCTCGAAGAATTTGGCAACGGCCAAGACCTAGCCCGCGCAGAGAACTGAATCAAAATCCGTCCAGTGTCTGCGACGTTCAGACTACCTTCCCGATCACGGCAAGTTGCCCCAGCTGCCTACCCGGACCGACTTTTCGGCTGTCCAGCGCCGAAACTTGCAAGTTCCTGAAAGGCCTTGGCCCACCGGGTCGGGCTCACCAAGCTGCCTCAGGCCAAAATGCACACAGCCCCTTCCGGCAGGGAGCTAAGGGCTACGTCCCCCAAGTCTGTGCAAACAGCTCAGTCCACGACCAAGGCACTGGCCCGCGAGTGCAATAAAGTGAAACTTCGGGGTTGCATCGGCTCTTGAAGGCATCATCAGGCTTCATGTCCGAATGTCCCTTCATGTAATGCCATGACGGGGGATCACCACTGTCCGTAATATCGTACTCCCGTAGTTTGCCATGCCGCATCTGCCGGTTCTTGCCGGCTGCGAAGGCTTGACGTTACACGTGTTGCTGCCGATGCCCACCCCGCCCCGTTTTAGTGCATGCATGTCTGCGTCACAATTCTACGGTCTCCACGGGAATCGCGGGCGGTTTCGCCTGCGGCTCACGCGTTGCCTTTGGCCTGGCAGGGGGAGAGTGGCATGATGCGCAGTCAACAGAAACTGACGGTGCCTGAGAGCTGAAGAACTGCGCCGCGACTTTTTGAGCGGCAGTGGAGCTGTCTGTTGCTTCATTCAGCAAGCCTCAAGCATCAAACTAGCAAAAGCATCAGCATTCGTGCTGACACCGAAGCCCGTCTCCCTGCCAGGATGCATTCCATGATCCGTCCGGGGCCAAACTGTGCCAAGGTCTGATCGTGCACCTGCACCCATGCCAGAAGCTTCCCCAAGTACTTGCTCGAGTACTTGCTCGCCAACACTGCGTGACACAAACCAACTTCAAGCGGCTGCAGCTTCGCAGCGGCCTTTTCTGTTGCACAGCGCCTCACTCTAACACACTTGAGATCCAATCCCGGTGCCTGAGCATCGAAGGCCGAATAGACCTCGAGCTTCTCGTCGTCAGTGCTGCCTCAATCGCTGTTGCGGCTTGTTTGTTCCCCGTCTCTGCTAAAAATTACTAGGATGCCCATGCTGCCCATGCTGCTATGGCTCTGACCCAACACCGGCTAGCAGTGAGCTAGTTGCGCAAAACTGGCGCACATAATAAGAGGTGCACCACCAGAGCAGACCGCAAACGCGAGCAACGCGGCTGCTTCAACCCTATGGTTATGGATTTCAACGAAAACGCCGCGTCTTCAACTGTGGCCGAAAGCAGGCTTTTCAAGCAGGAAACTCACCAACCGACAAACTCGTTATGACAGGCAGGGCACAAAATGATGCGAAGGCTGCAGCTCCCAGCTTGACGTGCAGAATGCCTCACAGCAAGAGGGTGTCCACCCCTGACTGAACTAAGTGAACTAAGTGTACCTGCCTAGTGCTAACCTTCGAAGTGCTGTGTTTCCTAGGCATCTCAGAATGCCGTCATCCCCACCTGCCAGCGATGAAACGGACTCGACGACAGAGAGCTGGTCTCGCACGCTGTTGGACTTCACCTCTCAAGCAGGCGATGCAAAGGACCAAAGGACGACATCCCCGAAGGATCGCTCTCGTCCGCCAGGTGGCGGAGCTTGCCGTGGGGAAGTTGGTCAACAGGAACGTGCCCATGGGGTCGGCAGATTTGAGGAAGGCCTCCTTCCATATCTCGGCCTCTTCGTGGCTTCCGACCGACCCTATGTCTGTGCGAGCACTACCCCGTTTCAAAGAGAAGCTGGGCCCGGAACCCATACCTTCACAGGCAAGCTGTCCTTGTGGACAGTGGCAGGACAACTGTTGCATGGATATTGGTGGGGCTTCGCACATCGGGTGGAAGGTGCAGCCAAGTCTCGGGAGTTTCTGCTGTGAATGACGCCTGTGCTTCTGGGGGGTGTGCTTCTGCTGGCAATGTCCTATGAAAACTCCGACGAGCCTTGGCGATGGCATCCTCTACAGCTGGACTGTGGCCGCTGCCTGGAATCCGACGGAGGGCTCAGCGCAATCCAATGCCCACGCAGATTGACAAGTCAAGAACAAATTAAAAGTCATAACAAAATCTGGTACAGAATTGTCGACCCCTGAAGAGCGCGGAAGTCCAAATCGCTGGCCCAGGCTCTCTTGCAAATCGCCATGGCATCCAAGATTGTGTACTTGGACGGTAGGGCATCCTTCACAATTCCAGAAAGCGCTTGCAAACGCCAGATGACCGCCACACAGCTGTATAATGCACCCGCTTGGCAAGCTGCGATCCACACACAAGAGTGCCAGCCTCTAAGCCACCTGCGGTGCTCATGGTGCAAATCGTCTCAGCCACAAGATTGCCAAAGTCTGACTCCGTGCCCGGTGACAGGATGACGTAAACTGTCCTTGTTCGGACACGAAGTGTGAGTCATGCACGCGATCCCCACAAAACAAATGCTGGCATCATTGTTGCCTGGTTTCGGGGTTTTTGCTCTCCAGGTTTCAGTCTTCCATGGACGGTCATACGGTATTTATTGGCTTACAGTGTTTGCGCCTGCGTCATGTCTTGCAACTTGGTATCGGCATCAGCTTTTGCTGAATCATGGCAGCGACGTCTGTGGGGCTCTCCCGCATCTTTTTGTCAATCTCCAGGTAGCTTCCTACCACAGCTTATCGGCATTATGTTTGTCTGCGACTCCAAGTTCCGGAACACTCTGGATGCGTCGGTGAGTCCTGGGCACAGCTCCTTGAACACCTGCAAGGATGAAAGCAAATGTCTCTTCACGAAGTCTGGGCGAGTCACTGCACAATAAAACTGCGGCAGGGCCTAGCTCCTATGAAACTCCAAAGTGCTTGGTTATGGTGCATGCACGGACTATGCTTTTTTGCAGCTGGGCTCTACAGTAAGTGTCAGCCAGCAAAATTAAAAGCACGATCTGGTTGCAGTCGAGGGCCCCGGCAGTCAGAAGTGCATCACAACTCGAGATTTACTGTCTGGTTCAACTGACTGCGTGCGACTCGTGTTTCCCTGGACGGCGGCCTTCATGGTGCCTTCCATGGTCGCCCGTTGCTGCGCCATCTTCTCAGCGAGCTGCTCGCCATCAATCTCCTCGTCCTCGTGCAGACCTGCAGATCCAACTCTTGGCCAGGTCCCCATAGCTTAGTTATGGGCCCCCGAGCTCTGGAGGCAGGTGCTGATGTTCACACATGGGTTCCTCGTAACTTGTCCCACTCTCATTTCTTTCGACAGGTTTCGCCATGTGTGACTGCCTAAGTTGGCGTTGCCTCGACAGCCGGGTTTAACGAACGGTACCAGCAACTCCATCATGCATTGCACGGGCCGCACCCAAGATGCTTCTATTTTCTAAGTCGACCGTCAATGTCTTTGATTTTAGATTCTAGATATGAACACGACACCACCAGCCTCTGTATTCCTCATCGAGGAACTCATCATCGCACCTCGGGGAGCGGCTCCCGGCAAGTGAACCGCTGACAGGACAAGCATCCCAGAAAACAGGAACAGAATGTAAGCCTGAATGAAGCTGCCATGCAGCTCAAGATAGATGACTGCTCGTGGTGCGCCGAAGGCTTCCAAGAAGGCATGTGCCTGAGAGTCGACACTGGGGCAGTCCTGCAGAACCAGGAAAGGTTCGGCTCGTCCCTGCGCGAAGGCCTTCAGCATGGTAACTTCATCAGAGCTACTGGCTTCTGCGTCGGCTTTGCCCGCGAACTCCGCTAGGCTCTTGGATGTGATGGGGCTACCACCGTAGGCATCGCAGAGCTCCTGTGCCTTCTTTGCGCCTAGGACCGGCGACAGGCTGCTGACAACGGCAAACTGGGGCATCCTGGACTTGGCGATAAGGCTCTGAAGTTTCTCTTGGCTGGGAGTTTCGGCAACCTCGAACTTCTCGAGCAGTCCCAGACGGCTGAAGTGAGCCACGATCGGTGGCAACCGGCTTTGCAGCTCGCTGAAGCGCTTGGCCGCTGTTGCACTGTCCTCCTTCATGGCAAAGCTATCAGCCCATGACTTCTCGGCGGCCTCATTACCCTGGATGTAGTAGACTTTGTTGATACGGAAATCTCGCTCGATAAGCTCAATTTGGTCCACGTACTGCGGGCAGTTCTGGATGATGAGGCACTCGGAGCAAGTCAGGTTAGCCACACCCTTCAGCAGCTCGAGCGTCATCGATAATGGGACGACCTGGCCCTTCGCAAGCATGTTATGCATCGCCAAACCCATTTCGGTCTGACGCTCGAGCTCCTTGTCCAAGAGCTCGTTGCAATCGACTGCCTCGAAATTCGGGGAGCTTTGGGCCAAGAGATTGGCCAGTACATCTGTGCCGCTTCCTGGTAGTCCCAACACCACCGTTAGGGATGGCAAGACTTGCTCGCTCAGCTTCTTCCAGGTGCCATCTACCACACTGCATGTTTGCATCTCGCTCAAGCTGTACGGGATGCGCTCTGCCTTCAAAGCCGTGAGCATCTCCGATGCCTCAGGCCCAAAGAAGTAGTTGGACCGAAGCTCCAACTCAAGGGTGTCCTTGCTGCTCATGGTCGCAGCGAGATCGGCGGCATCTGCACGCGAAAAGTCCAATACCAAAGTTCTGGTGATGCTGGAGACACGGTACTCAAGGAACTGGGCTTGCTTCAGGCTCTGAGGGAAGTCGGACAAGACAAAGTTTTGCACTCCTAGGGCCATGTCTCGGTAGATCTCCGACAGAATCAGAGGGCAAGCAATGGAGGCATCTACAGGCTTTCCTGCCAGCATGGCTTTCCTCACGGCCGGCGCATCTGCCTCGTTGGAGTCGGCGTAGCTTTTCAGCAGTGTCGTTAGATTGATGGCCGAGTAACCGTACTGCTTTTCCAGCTTGTCCGCCATATGCTCGACAGGTGCCCCTGGAGGGCCCAGCAAGTAAAGGAAGCGGCAGCTGAAGTAGCGCTTCACCTCTGCAAAGACCTCATCCGGCGCCTTTTCTGCATTGGCCTTGCGCAGCTTGCCGATGGGGCCATAATAGTTGCACAGGGGAAGAGTCTGCTGGTCGAAGACCTCGAGGCGCTTGCGCACCGTCTCGTCGTTGTCGTCGACTCGACCTGGGTTGGTGGCAGCTCGGCCTTTGATGCGATCCATCATCGTTTCATGGCTGGCCTCCAAGTAGAGCATGAACGAAACCTCTGCGATCTCGCGCTCGAAGCGCTGGGCTTGTTCAACGGCACGAGGGAAACCGTCCAACAGAAACCTGTTTGTATCTTGGTTTTTGATCATCGCCTTTTTCAGCAGCTGTAAGACAATGTCGTCTGGGACCAAAGTGCCCGCAGACATGTGCTTCTCGATCTCACCACCAAGGAATGATCCAGCCTTTACCTCTGCGCGCATGAGGTCTCCCGTGCTCAGGTGGATCAAGTTGAACTCGTCCTTGATCCTGGTGCACTGAGTGCCTTTGCCACAGCCGGGGCCACCAGCCACAAAAACAACGAAGGGCGGCGTCTTCAAGTCGCTCTCCCCTGGTTCCTTCTTCAGATCTTCCTCTGTAACTTCCACGATGGGCTTTGACGGCGGCTCGGGCGCAGGTGCCTCGACGACGAAGGCCATGCCGTCCTGATTCACTCCCGACTCCACATACTGACTGGTGCGCGTTGGTGGATCAAATGCGGCTTTGGGTGCCTGATTGTTTGGATTGTTTTCGCTTAGCCAGTTGGCCAACCACTTAACAGCCGCCAGGCCCTGTGGCTTCACCTTGCACAAGCCGATAAGGCCATTGGAGATCAGCTGCTGCATGGTAGGGTCAAGCTCGAAGTCAGTTGCTTGGGCATCAGAAAGGGTCTGTAGGTCCATGGAGGCACGCGCGGACTTGCGGAAGATAAAGTCCCTCACCTCATTGTCGTCGGGCAGGGGGTCGACTCCCATCTCTGGGAAGAAGAAGCGGATCTCCTGCACAGCATCCTTTAAAGACTCGCTGCCATGGACGGCATTGCGCTGTCCATCCCGGCCGAAGCGGGCGCGCAGGGAGCCTGGGTGCGACTTCTTCGCCTCCTTCACCGATGCGTTCCCCATCAGCTGCTTCAGGACCGTCACGGCTTCGACGCGGCAAAGCACCATGGCACAGCAAGGCCCGCTGCAGGATTCCTTAACCACGGCTGCAAAGGAGGGGTCGCTCTTGCTGCTCCTGCCGCATTCAGTTAAATCAATGAAATACCTCCCGTGTGTTACACTGTGTTAGGGTTCTAGGGTCTCCGTGTGGGAAGCTAGGAGCTGTTGGATGCCTGGTCCTGTAAAACTCCTTGGCCCGCTCTTCGCTTAGCGTCGTCTGCTTCTCCTTGAGGACCGTGAATCCTGCCGCTTCGATCTCAGTCTTGATAGCCACCTGACCACAGAAATCGAAATTATGAGTGATGATCAACGTTCTCCTAAACTTGGATACCCAGGCTCAGAGGCCAGGAATGCAAATCCATGGCTAAGAAATTCGGGTGTCCAATCAACTACTTGATACCGATCTTCATTCCACCTTTACCGTGCCTATTTTAGTCAGTCAAGCTTTGACGAAACCCGGCCAGATTCGCAACAGCGTCGGGTTTGACAATGCAGAGTGTGCGCTCCAGCTTCAGCGCGCCGTCTGGGAAGAAGGCTTTGATCTCCTGCCAAGTATGCACGTAAGCCGAGGCCCGAGCCCGATTCAATTTCAGACGGACTCCTTGTCTGCTGCTTCCATGTTGATGCTAGCATACATGGCGTTGCTGGTGCCATCCGTGCCCCAGAGCGCACGGATTGTGGTTGGAGCACGCTCACGGGCCACTCCAGAGTGGGATGGCCCACAAATCAGCCTTGGCAGCAGGAAACTGATTCCAAAGCCGGTCTGGCGTTCAAACTACCCTGCCTGTATTGCAGGCCGCAATCAACAATGTTAAACTAGCTGAAGCTGAACTTGCAGCTGAAAAGCTGCATCTTGCCAATAGCACCTCTGCCCTCGATGCACATGACAAGGCAACCGGGCTCTGCCATCACCGCCTGGCACAGGTGTGACCAAGGCGGAACCGGCAAACAGTCATACCCTCTCCAACCACGAATGCCCCATGACTAACTGGCACCATTCTGTGTCAACGTGCCGGGAGCAAAGACCTGATATTTAGCAGCCCTGAAACAATGACCATGTCAGGAGAGGGCTGGCACCGCCACGGCATTGGTATGATCTGCACTCCCATCATACTCCTGGGGTGTCAAATGGCTTCGCTTCTGGGGTTGCTGGTTCTCCTCGTTATGCTGACAAAAACCGAAGTCATGTTTTGACCGTCCTTTGATGACATATGTTGACCGGCTTCGCGGATTTCGACCGTGATTGTTCCCTGTGATCCCTGAATGACTGGAGTCCCCACCCGCTGTCCTGACAGATGAGCTTCGCTTGTGCTTCATCCGGCGAATGCAGCCTCGTAATGGCGAAACCTTTCTGTTAAATGAATGAAAGCTCGACTTCGGACGATATGTGCTACAAAATCTCCATACTGCAAGTCCTTATAGTCGGTATATACACCGTTCACGCCGTCAGCGGTTTTCGTCCGTCAGAACCGCTAGATATGCCCTGTTCGCGTGTTGCAGTGCTGCAAAAAGCGGCCTCTGTTTGCCAAGTTCGAGCTTTCGCATGTGGACCCGGGTTCATCACAGTGCGTTCACAAGCTTCCCGTTCACAAGGTCCCAAGAACTTGTCACATGAAAGCCGGGTTATCGATCATGTTGTGTCGAATTCTGCTATCGTGGCAAATTCCTCGCACTCTGCGTCCTAATTCACCTGCTTCTATCATCCCAGACACAGTGGGCTGCTTAAGCAGATGTCTTAAGTTGTCTCAAGCATGAAGGGCACGGAGTCAACTTGCGACAACCAGCTGGATTAGCATGCTTCGCCATCCTGCCGGCCATCCCCATCACACTGTGAAAGCAAGGTGCTGCTTCGAGACCACGAACAGCCCTAGCTGTGCAGCCTCGTCCTCGCAGACAGTCTCGGTACGCGTTTCGAAGAACACTCGCTCTCGCGTGCTCAGTGCTGGCAACTGGTACATCCTCGACCACTTGCTCTGCGGTCTTCCCGCCCTTTTCGCCCTGCTGGACGGCATCGGGCTTAATGACCTTGGATTGAGACGACCAGGGCGCCTTGACATTCCAAGACGAACGTCGTAGTTTTCTACGCCCCCAAATGCTTCGTTAAGAGCAGCGACTGCAAGCGTGCGCTCCACTGGCAACGCATCGAGGTGTGGAAAGAAAAACTCGATATCTCCTTGGCTCCACCCAGGCATTGTGTTGTGGTGGTTTGGCGTCCGGAGCTCTTGGACGTGCCTTTGCCGTGAGGCACATGCGGGTGCATGAGGGATTTAAGACGTTGTGGAAAATATGTGTGATGCAAAGCTACATGCGGTTGCAATAGAGCGTGCTGAAATGAGCAGTAGATTTCATGCCATGTCTGAAACTCGCCAAGATCTCGTTGGCATTCCCATTTGTCCAAGCTCATGTAGAAACTTCCTGTGCGGTGTGTACTGGAGTAGACTCAGGACGTCGGATACTGACGGACGGCTAGCAACAACCAACCCGGCCTTTGCCATACATCTCCTCCAATCCCTGGCAAGAAGCGAATGATGCATGCTACGAGCCTGCCTCTTTCAAACTTCGAGCTCCGTCTACGAGCTACACTTTCGCTGGAGGCCAACAGTTGTCCTTAAGTCGGGTGGTCTTGCCAATCTGCTTGGACCTCCTTCATGGCAAGAGAACGCTCTACCACGTCTCCGTCCAGGTGCTCCAGCACCAACACCTGACAGAACAGAGCGACTGAGAGACTGAACAGCACTACGTACTACGTTACGATCCCTTTTGCATACCGTTACCCTCAACCCTTCGTATCCCTTCCTTTGCCCAGCGGGTGCCTGGGAGAGCCCACGGCTGGCGGCTAGCACTGCGGCCTCCCGGGCCTTCGGCTGCAGGTAGTGGAAGTAGCTCTCCTCATTTGGCGCAGGCATAGACACGTCGAGCCGACGTAGATGCAGAGACTGCTGTCGGAAAACTCCGGAATGCCGCGGGGCTGCGGCTTCTTCAGCGAGGTACACCTCCTTGCGCGCTTTCACCTCTAAGTATGCCTGGCAGTTTGGGAATGCCAAATCTCGGCAAGGATGCTGCCAGGACGCTCCATCTCTGCTGGCCTCCTCAAACTTGCTAACGAGCTCATCTGCCTTGCAAGATCTTCCGAGTTTCGCTGGATTGCAGAAGGCACTTCTGCGCGTGGATTCGACAGGGGATGATCGATAAGATGAACAGATCAGAACCTTACCTACCCATAATTGGAAACCTCTCTCGACAGAACGACTTCTGCCATACCGTCCCGCTCCCACGACCCGATCTCATGCACCTTGAAAAGCTGCCGCCCCCGGTAAAAAAAAAAAAAAAAAACGTCCCACTCCCTCCTTGGCCCTTTCGTCCCTCACCCGGCCGAGGCCTTTCCCTCCAGGATGAGCTGCGGCATCAGGAGGACGACATTTCGAGTCTTCTCCTCCGGAAGAGGAACTTTGCTACAGGCTCTGCTTCTTCATGGGGCGCCCGTGGCGAAACCCTCGATGGACCTCGAAACCTCAGGAGACTAGGCTAATCTCCATTGTCGGTCGCCAACATTTAGTTTGTCGCGACACTGCGTTCGCCACGTGAGGGCACATCAAACGATAGAAAACCAGAAGCCAAGAAGATATTCATGGTGGCCTCCAGGGCGAGCATGGCTCTGCTCCTACCTACCTACACTTACACTGCAACTACCGGGTGAAAATAGCTTGGACCTTCGAGCCGTGGACGCGGAAAGCTAGCAGTCACCCGACTATACCGTGTGCTCCATCCACCCGCAGGGACTCATGTGGACTCAGCAACTCACACCCTCAGGCTGGTGCCGAAAGGCTGATGTAGCAGCCGAAGGACACCAGCAAGGGCGGACCAACAGGTCGCACATCGAACAAGGTCGGCACAGTCGGCATCTGATCCCAGCTCTCGAAGACCTGCAACCCATCAATGCCGTCTCCATGTGTCCAAGTCCGGAACTTCTACTGTACATGCCCAATACCAGTAGTACATTCTTGAAAGAACTAGGCCCGCGACTGGCGTTTCTGGGGCCAATGCCTTGCAAGACTCGACTGCCATCTGTTTCAATCGCCGTTCGGAGAACCAGCCGTAACCAGCCTCACTTGTGGACACCGATGAAGCCGCAAAACGGAGGCCGGCCACGCCCGCGAACAGGATCAGGCTAAAGATCGCATCCACCTGAGCAAGCTAGGAGTGCCTGGCAGTGCCTGGATACAGGCCCCATGCCCATGCCATCCGAGGATGGTAGCTGGTAGCCGGTAGCCTTGTAAGACCACCCGAACCAGAAGATCTCACGGGCGCAAACCAAGACCTGGCAAGTGCAATCTCCCCAGATCCAGAGAGACATCTTGCAGTGAGGCTGCCAGGCAGCAGGGGCCGGCGACGGCGCCCACCATCCCCGGCCTGCGAATCGAACATCGAAGAGGAATTCTCTAAAGAACTCTCAAGTCTAAGCCCGGATTCTGAGCAGCTGGCGCGGACAGCCCGAGCACAGCCAGAGCGAGAGTTGCGCTGCCCAGAAGCCGCAAAAGGACACCTGCGGAGCTGCCAGGTACTTGGAGCTGGCGCCTCTTTTTGCCAAGAGTTGTTGGGCCGCGGACCTGCAACCAGCCTCGAGCCAGTTGGCGCGGCTATGGCAGCAATGCTTCCACTCACGTCAGCCACTGCCAGTGCAGCTGCCTGGCCGTCTGCTCCCAGAATGACAGAAGCTTGCCCCCACATGCCGCGCCTGAATGGAACCATCGATCACCGATATGCCACTCGTCATGAAGAAGTCCAATGTGTAGGTCAGACACCAGCACAGCGCCTCCAAGCAGAACCAGCCCTTCGGCCGACAGGAGAGACAAGAGAGAGAGAGAGAGACATCAAGCTGCAGTCCACTTGCACCGTGGTGGCCAAAGCAGCCCGATACAGGATGACCTGTGCACTTCTGTCGCGTCTGTACGCAGTGATAGTGGCCCCCACGGCTTTCAGCTGCAAGCGCGTCGGATGGTTCAAGCGACAAGTGATTCAATTGCTGCCCAGGCCAAGCTGCCTGGGCTTGCTCCTGTGGTGTGGGACCACCATCGCCTCCTCCTGGCTTCTGCGTAAAGGGGCTGTGCAACATCGGTGCCTTCAGACTACTGAAGCACAACATACGCGCGTAAAATCCACGGTGCCTCCAGCTCGACCTGGTTTGCCGGACACAAACGGATCGCTGATGGGTTCCTGACCAACTCTACTGTGGTCCACTGCCACGCTGCTACACATGCAGCTGAGGCTGAGCCTCGACTACTGCCGGCACCGCCGCCGGCCTTAGCCGCTCCAGTCGGCCAGTGTGTGAAGGAGAAGGTGCCTGGAGCTGTGCGCTGCGAGCTACATCGTGCATCGCGCCAGGTGCAACTGAGCCGCAAAGGCATTGGACGCATGGAAGCGTAGCAGGGTTGCTGCCAGAACGGCCTGAGCAGTTGCCGACATCTTGGAAGCTAAGCTGTTAAAGCCAAATATCTTTGGTCACGGCTGTCGCCACATGCGCCCAGACGACACGGCGATGGCCGGGAGGCCGGCAATATGGCCAAGGAGAGGGCATCAAGCCAACATCGACATGGTAACGAGAAACGTCATGAGGTGCTGGCTGCTGAGGACTACACGACTACAGGGTGTCGTGGAAAAGCTTTGCAAGTATGTTGACGAGGATTATGATCATAGTAAATGGCAAGCGTATGTCAACGTGAGTGACTGTTCATGATGAAGAAGATCAGCGTTGCACAGCAGCGCAGCATGTGAAACCGGGCTGAAAATTTGCAGCTGCAGATACAAGCTTCAATGAAAGCTGTCCCGGCTTCCGACACCAGGATCTCTGTCCGCAAGCGTCGATGTGCCGACTTGCACGTTCTTTCGAGGGCGGTGCAATGCTGAGGGGGGCTTCGCATCCTGTCAAACACAAGTCGCGCTTCAGATCTCGAAGCCTGCTTCTGCGTTTCTAAATCTAAGGTGTGGACGAGCAACACCAGCACGCAGTGGCTTTGCATTGGCCTCCTGGAACAGCCGTAGACTGTAGATGCGGTTTCGACCATGCCCTTCGCAACCTAATGATGAAGCAGCATTCGCACTTCATGTAGTGAAGCATTAGGTCCTGTGGGGGAGGCAGGCGGTGCTGAGGTGATGCGGCTGCAGAGATGGCCTGGTGAACATGCAAACCGGGTTTGCAAGCGCCAAGCTCTCATCATTTGCCCCGCGCACTTTTCTAAACACTTTCAGAACAACTCCGAGAGAGCAGGTCTGACAAGAACCGGGTGGAAAAGCCATTGTCGCCCTCGTCATACTGGAAACTCTGTTTCACACCGACTGTCGGTCTCCCGTCTTTCTGTGTTTTTCGCCAGGGCTATGGTGGAGGGTTGTTGCCCCTCACCGCGCGACAGGTGCGGGTGCCAAGAGTTTCTGCCGTGCACACCAACCAAGGCATGGACTTTCAAAGATAACTCGAAGCAACACTATGGTAAAACAAGCCATGCCTTCGCAGCGGGGTTATTCCCCGATGTAGCACGATCTTCGGCAGCGAGAAGTAGGACATCGACGATCCGAACAGCTTCGACAATCACAGGATCAAAAACAAACTGAATAAATCGTCGAAGAGAAATAGCAATTTAGAGGCAATGCATGTGGCCCATCACTTACACCATGTTGTCGACAAGGTGTTTGGGGACTTGGCTGGGCATTGTATTGACACGGGCAGCAACAAATAACAAACTGGACGCAGCGAAGGTCTCGACATGCATTGTTTCTGTACGCCACAGCTCAAGCTTTTATGGGATCGCCTTCTTACAAAGGGTGCCGGCGCAGGAACAGAGCCCCAGAGAGGGGGCGGGATTTCGAGGATTTTGGAGGCTCCAGCGGCCCGTCTAAACTAGCGGAAAGGCTGGAAAATTAACAAGGATGTTTCTCACCCAGTGGAGGTATCTAGCTAGCCTACCTCACCGGGAAAAAAAACAAAAGGCGTCGACTCATTGCTCTCACTTCAGTGTTGGTGTAGTCCTCAACTGCGCCACCTGTGTTTTGGCTGTTGTTGTCTTGTCCTTGTCCTTCTTCTTCTTGGCCTTGGCGAGGGGAGTTCCGACTCGACGTTGCTCTCGAGGAGGAAGTCCCGGCCCGTGTTTCACGTGGCTTGGGGTTTTCCCCCGTAGTGTCAGGACTATATAGGCATGGTTTGCATTCTCTATCTCCCACTTTGTCACAAACTCGACGTAGACGGGCATGTTCTTCCGGTGGATCGTTTCCTGGAAAAGGAACAGGTGCGGCATTCCTATGGCGGTAAGTGCGGGGCAAGGAATGCGTAGAGGGCCACTGTGATCCCCACGGATTCGGCGAAAGGCTCAAGCCTTCCCCCGCTCGGATGGACGTCCACCCAACAGACCTGCTTCGCCCACCCAAGCGAAGCAGCGGGTCGACGTGAGCCAAAATCCTCTCTCTCTGGAGCTTCTTTTCTCTACGGCGCTACGTAGCGTTATGTCAGGAATAAGGAAGTAGTGGAACGCTTCGCGTCAATCGCCCCGCGGGTGCCTCGTATGTCAATGGAGGCTTCACGCACTCCAAGTTTTGCTGCCGCCGCGGGGCCTCGGGGCCGCGACAGTGGCAATGATGAGACCTTCTCTTGCTGACGACAATCTGACGACCCTGGCGACGAAGTGACCCCCTTCAGCACCAGGTGGTGCCGGCCGCTGAGGCTGCGATGCGAAGGTCTTCCTGCCGTTCTCGTGCGGTCTTTGCTCCCTCAAGCAGCCATCTGAACGGGGAACGATATGACGAAACGATGGCCATCCATTGCCTGGACAGAGGCTGCGGGCTCGCCTCCTGCATGATCGACGTGGGCACACACACACACACACGGACAAGCAAACAAGCAAGCAGGCACATTAAACACACAAACAAACAAACAAACAAACAAACAAACAAACAAACAAACAAACAAACAAACACACACACACACACACAAACTTGGAATGACCCTCGATATGAGCCGAATCATACCATGGTTAGCAAACTAGCATCATCTCTTCCATTCATCTGCTTGGTACTTGCATCCCTCAGCTGTCCTTGCTGGGACCCAGAGCGGATGCGTGTAAGCACGTTTTCTTGGAGTGCGGGAGGGGGGCTTCGTTGGACAGAGCCTTTCCGCACCTTTTCAGGGTGGTAGCCTGGTAGCCCCTGTGAGGGGGCAACACGCTTGCCAGGTGTGCATGTTCAAACATGAGCAACGTGCACTTTACACATTCCAACCTTCGCAAACCGTACTCATGACATGATGCTGCGAGGAGACAACAGCATCGGCAAACCTCACTCATGACATGAAGCGGCTACACGTTCCGACACGTTCCCGCATTTGTTATTTTGGTTTTGTGGTATGAGTGAGCGAGAATTTAGACAGGACGGTGAACTAAAGGAAGGGGTGATGAACACACGTGCAAAGCCGTCACAAACGATTGCGATGCGTGCCCCTGGTTTTCGTGGTGCCTGCATGAGTGAAGGAGACATTAAGGAGACAGGACGGGGAAATGTAAGGGTGATGAGCCGGCATGCACAGAGCACACAACGAGGGGAGAGGTGCACTCCCCGTATGCATCTTCTCCCTGGTTTTGAAATGCGAACCTGGGAGTTCGCAAGTCCGAGCCGCAGGGCCCCCATATCACTGTTTATTTATGAGCGAGAGCTTGGCAGGCAAAGCCGCAACCACTCTCTCCCTAATGCTTGTATTTGGACGAAGCCACAGCTGCTTTTTGCTGCTTTCGTCTTCTCTTGCCCCTTATCGCTGTTTGTTTAAAGTCGAAAACTTCGCAGGCAAAGCCGCAGCCAGCCCTCTCTCCCCTGTGCTTGCCTTTGCCGGCCATAAGTTGCTAAAGCATTCTCCAACACAAGGGTGCAGGAGAGCATACTCCATTTATGCTACAGTCATTCCTCAATGCCAGTTGTACAGTCGCTGAGCATACTCCATGTATGCTACAGTCACTTGTATGGTCGGCGAAAGCATGCCGCACGCAAGTTGTATGGCCGACGATGTTACATTTAGGATCACAAGTAGACACTTTCCCATTGTCTTTCAGCATTTATGCAGGAGAGTATGTTCGAAAATCTCTTGCGCCCATCCTTCTGGCAACCGAGCTTTCTACATAAAGCTGGAGCCTCACGACTGGCACACAGAGACTCATTCATCTGCAGCCTCCGACCAATAGCCACTGCATCTGGATAGAGCCAAACTCCATGTTCAGGAAAACGGGCCCGGACCTGCCGACTGGCCTAAAGAGCCTCGTTCTCACATCTCTGATTAAAGTCACTTCTTTGGCCAATGTTAAGCATCAGCACTTTGAGGCTAGCTTACACGAAGCAGCGTCTTGACTCGCTTCACGGATGCAATGCTGGTGTCTTCGTCGGTTCCAGTCCAGCAGGCATCCCTGGCACCCCCAGCACTCTTTTTCGCAAGTCCCTTGGTAACAGGGTTTCTCAAACACACACAAACATACAAACACACACACACACACACGACAGCGATTATGGAAAGAGAACTGCGCCTGCCACCTGCGTCCAGCCTGATCCATCCTTGCTTGCGAGAATTCCGATCTTACTTTCCCGTGATGCGAGCCTCCTGACAAGAAATGCCTTGCACTAAGCTCGGCACCAAAGCTCTGGCTTCACGGGGCCGTCCTGCACCCAAATCTTCAGTCTCTGATTGAAACCACAATCGCGTGCACATGTGCTTGGCAACTAAGTCCGGATGTCCTTCTGGAGGGCATCAGCAAGCCTGGCCTTGAAGTCACGTCACGGGGCTTCCATGGGCTTCCGCACTCAACTCCAACGGCTCACCCTGCCCACACCAGCGAAGGGCAAGCTCGCAATTTTCAGCCTTCTGACAAACATCCAAAGAGACCCACACAGGAAATTTTGGAACGGACTTCTCAGATTCGGCTCACTGCCACGATCTCCGCGTCCCACGGCCAGGGCCTCTCTGTTGCTGGTGTGATGGCTGCGCCCATCTGCGCCCTCATCATCACGGACAAATCCACGCAAATGAGTGGGAAATCTATGTCGTATCTCACATCCGTGGCATGGTAGATGAACAGGATGAGATCACCACAGCGATAGCATACCGACATACACCGACCACGTGTCTGCGTACTTCCCTCTCGCTGACGCGCTGCCACCTGACCAAAGCCTCGACTAGCGTCTCCTCGCATTCTGGGCCATCATCGACTCGCGGCAAGTAGCTGAACGTGTCCGACGAGCAGGAAAATTTCCCCTTTAGCGACCATGAAGCACGCACCGCTTCGCTGCCAGTGCAGGAACGAAACGCATGCCAGCTCCTGCTGAGTTCAGCCTAGCTCTTGCTTGCGCTGCATCAACTCCATGTTCGTAGCTATCCAGAAAGGCATATCCTTGCATGGCGCAGCGAGGTGTAGCACCAAAATGACGAACTAACAGAGAACCAAACTGCAGCGCTGAAACACCTTGATGCACTGCAGCCCGAGAGGCATGAACATTCCTTGGTCTTGTGAACACGCTAGACTCTAGACGGTCTTTCGTAAGTCGCACAGGTGCTCTTTAGGACGCCTTGAGGCCTTGCTCTGATGCCGATCCAAGGCTCAGAAGGCGCTGGACACGAGTTACCTGCCTGTGCATTGAGAGGTACTCCTTTTGCAGCCGCAAAACTGCTTTCCCACAAAATCTGAAAACTGTTCATGAGATTCAGCTCCTCTTGTGAAATGTTGCGCAGGATTGCAGGTGCATCGGCCACCTGCTCAAGCATGCGGCAGGCACGCTGCCACTGTCTCAGACTGCGTGAGCGGTGCCTGGCTGTTATGCAAGAAAACGGCGATCCGCCGCCAATCAATGAGAGTTTCAAAGGGCCTCGGACAGATGCATGACATGTGGAGTGAGGGAGGCAGAGATCACACGCTCAGCTGGCAGCGGATGGAAGGCATGGGTCAGAAGCACCGGCACACAGCCATGCAACAGAACCTGCTCACACGTTAGCACAGACGTTAAGCCTTTGTCCAAACGGCACTGGTGAGTCGGTGTCATCTCCAATGCGGAAAAGCCTTCCATCAAGCACTGGCCTCGTAAAGCCTTGCCGAGATGGAGGAGAACCCATCCGGGACAAAACCTCAGCCGACCCGCCTGTGGATATGATCCAGCAGTGCCTCTGACCGAGCAATGAGACGCGTGATTCACGCGACCAGGTCACAGAACTTGGACCGGAAGAGGAAGTCGCTCCAAGGCTTCTTAGGAATTGGCTTCGGAATGACGAGCACCTGCGAAAAGAACACCCAACCCATGTCCGCACAGCGAACACACATTGGCATCACCTCTGCATCGTCCGATGCAGCAAGCTGGCTCGCGATTGATCTTCGGATACAGCTGTTCCTTGTATCAACGGGTTCATTGCGCAAGCAAATCAATTCATATCGCTCGAATGTCTTTCCGTCTGTAACAGGCGTCTCCCCCCAAACAAGACGAGCATCGGAGATGCCGCATAAAACACGAGCAGGTGCCGATCTTCAGTCTGCTGGGCCTCCGGTGTCCACTCGAAGCTCGTCGGCACGGGCACCACGACGTCCTCCACAGTAACTTCGGAAGACTGCATGCTTTTAAAACAGCCAACGAGACCCTCACATCCTTCACTCAATTGGGTCTCCGCAGGAAAGTCCGAAACGAGATACAGCACAGCACGTGGAGCGACGCTTGTGGCAACCCTTCGTCCTGCTCGTAGTAAACGAGGCGCCTTATGGAAACGGGAAACAGCTCGTTGTAGGGCCCTAGATTCCCAGATCCCCCTTGGTTTACTGCCCGGGGCCCCACCTCTTCGACGTACTGCTCCGGCCTTTGCAGGGATCAGGCGCTGAGTCCGATTCCGGCCGCAACCACGGCTGGTTCCTGCGAAGGTGCATCATGGTGTGCACAGGCAACCTCCGTCCATCCATTTTGATTCTGAATGTCCTCTTCATCCAAGTCCTTGCAACAACTGCAAGATACTGCAAACCGTACGTCATGCAAAAAGCTGCTCCCCGCCCGCTGCCAAGAGCGTGTCTGAGCTCCAGGCGTGCCATTTCCAACCTTATCTGACAAGCAACACAGGAGGTGCGCGATCGTTGTCAGGCAGCTCAAGGAATCGGATTGGTGATGTATTGAGGGCTTTTCACCAAGCAGCAGTTGTAATGGCATGCCAGTGCTGGGTGGCCCTTGATGCCATCGGGTAATCAACTCGCCCCTTGTCCATGGCGAAAACGATGACGAAGTTCCTTCCAGGAATGGATCGTCTTAACATGTGCGACTGGTTCAACTAACAGCATACTTATTTATTCGGAAATCAATGCAAAACATTTGTTGTATGTGTTTTTGTATTTGTGCATGTGTATGTGTATGCATATGTATATGCACTTATATGTATAAGCATATGGCTGGCTAGCTAGCTAGCTAGCTCGCTCGCTCGGTCGCTCGCTCGGGTAGGTAGGCAGGCAGGCAGGCAGGTAGGTAGCAGGTAGTAAGTAGGAAGGCAGTCGGTAGGTTGGGCACATTCGAGCAGTAAGTATGACAACATGTACTGATGTCTTGTATACAAATACATTTGCTCATTGAGCCGACCAGCCGACCTGCCCTGTGTCTTCTGGTAAGCCGGCGTGGTCTCGGCCCAATGGATCAATGGCAAAAGGTAGGATTCCTACGAGATCCGCGATGCAACTCGAAACAGTCGGGACACATGGACGAAATCGGCCAGCATCTCCTGCGCTATCCTCAATGCTTCCCATGTCAGCTTCACTGTGTTGAATCCGGCTCCGTACCCTGAGTGTGCAAGGGTTGCACGCGCCACAGGAACACGCAAGGTCCAAGCTTGAATGATTCTTTCATATCGCAAAGGTTGCCATAAGGTCGCGCACCGAAATCCATCTGAGGATTGAGCTAAGGACATGGTACGCATACGTGACGCAGTGCTCGAGCACCACGAAGTCCGCTTCCTCTGCCGAATTGGCAAGGAACTGACGGTTCATCTCCTGGGCGCTCGATACGCGACGCAGCGACTGCAGAACTCACCGCCCAAATTAAGCCAAAGTTCGAAAAAGTCTGTGTACATGTACTCGAAGCTGTACCTTGATCTTTCGCTCGTCCCTTCCATTCGAGCACTGGTACCACACGCAATGCATCAAGGCGCATGTGTCCGAAGTATTCACACCTGAGGAGGGGCGAAAAATCCGCCTTTTACGGAAAGCCAGCGAACTCCAGCTGTGGGCCTCCAGCCTCCATCCTGGCAGAGGCTCTGAGTGCAGGACTCCAAGGCCCGGCCCCGCAGCTGCCGAAGCTCCGGCGGTGGCCGGAGCACGAAGAACTTGGCATGTAGCCTCAGCCAGCTAAATGCAAGTGCACGGATCTTTCCTGCAGCAATCGCGAAAGGTCCATGCCTTTAAAGCCCAAGTCCAAATCCGCAGCATTCGGCAACCAAGGCGCGACAAGTTCAGCAAGCCAGAAAAGTGCAACGGTATCCCTACATCCTTGGATCGATGTGTGCGACAAGCAGGGTATACCTGCATTAAGGCCCGACGGGACGTTACAAAAGTAAGGCATGGCTGCAGTCTTGGATCGGCCAACATACCTTTGGCATGTGGCAGGAGGAGAAGCCAACGCCAAACAGCGCCCGCCATCCATCGCTCGACAGGATCGCTTCAATCTAAACAGGCGCCTGCCGCTTGCTGGAAACAGCTTGCAACCTCCACTCAATGCAAGCAGCCGTACACTACGCTTGGATTGCAACCCGCGCAGGCACGCTCTCCAAGCCCAACGCAGCATCCAAGCGCATAGATTCCGACTGTTCCTGCGCTTCCCTGGCAGTTGCTGCAAACTCCACCATCACAGCATGCCACATGCTGTTGAAAACAAGTCCCCTGCTGCAGCTGCCGCCGCAATCGCTGGCAGGCCTTTCCAGACATGCTCAAAAGATCGCACCGTCCACGACTCTAGCCTAGCATGTTGCAATGCCTCACCCTGCGGCATTGTGTTGGGGCGTGGCATGTCCCATCCTCTCACAAACATGGCACGACTCCCTCCACTTCGGTGCACGTGTTGAGACTCTGGGGGGCACCTCCGCGTTCCAACTGCGCCAAACCTGGCTGTGCCAACAAAGGTCTTGTTTCAATCTGCTGCAGGGCAAGACTGAATTGCTGGTCCCAGCTGCTGATTGGCGCAGGGTTGCCCCGTGTCCTCCAGCAGCACACATCGTGTTTGTTTTCGCGGGATCATGAGATATTGGTTTTCTCGTGAACGAGAAGCTATTGCTGCCAAGAGGCATGCCATGAATGAAGTGGCCCGGTTTCAACGAAGCCCGGTCAACGAGCCCGACATGCTGTCGGGTAAATGATGCATTTCCCTCTGTCCCATCCATGGTCCATGGCCACGCCACAGTGCCACTCGTCCAAACGAGATACTGCCCGCAGCAAATACGTCGATTGATTCTTTTCTTCGCCGAGCAAAAAAAGTGAACAAGTCTTGCGGGTCCTGCACTACAACACCTGATAGAGCCTGAACCCATACGCCCCAACCTTAAAAGCCTCAAGCCGCGCCCCCTGCAGCGCGAAATTCGTGCACCAACCCTAATCAACAAAACGAAGCCAGCTGTGCAAAAACCTCTGGTATAGTGGTTTGCAAAAGCAGCAGAGCAAGCGAGCAGGGACTGGCAGGCGTCCGAGCCACGTCCTCACCATCAGGCGCTACATAGCACCCGAAGCACAGGAACACGAAGTGGGAATTTGTAGGAACTGATACTAGTTTTTTTTTTTGCAACCACTTCGTTGGAAGAAGGATTGCGTAGCATTGGAAGCAAAACACGACAACACGGGGCTGCTGGAAGTGTAAGAAACGCTGGCTTTGCAACCGCTTCGTTTGACGGAAAGATTGCATGGCGTCCCCCAGAAGTGTCTGGGCATTCGAAGGAAGCCGGCGCGAAACTGTAAGATGTGTTCTTTACGCACATTTATTTGCAACAGCACTAATGCGTTGTGGGAGAAGCGGCCCCCGGAGCTGGAGGCGACTCGGCCCGTCCGGCTCAGCGAGCGCGAGGACGCGGTCGAGGGCCGGTTCCTGCCCCGCAGCGCTGCATGGGAACAACCGCCCAGCGCCGCGCCCCCGACGGCGTGCTGCAGTGGCGCAGGCACTGCGGCAGCTGCACGCAAGGTTGGCCGGGCGCGGAGGGCCCGGACGCGAACCAGCTGCTGGGCTAACGAGCGCGGCATCCCAAAACACTGCCAGATCTTGGGGCGAGGCGCCGTACACCACAAGGTCCACTCTCATGCGGTCGGACGATGGCGCACCTGGTTGCATGTTGCTAGCAGGTCGAAGCAGCCAAAGCGTACGAAGTTGACGGCAGCTTCTGCAACCCTCCCTGCGTGGATGTGGTCGTCCCTCCGTATAAGCCGTGCCAGCTCGTCAGTTGTCCATCGCATAACATGCAACTTCCCCACTGGACAGAGGAGGTGCAGCGCTGCCGTTTTTGTACGGCCACAGTTATCGGGCAACGAGGTTGCACCACGTCGGGTTTCGAACCAATCGCTCCTCCTAGCAGTCAAAGCTGTCGTTGCAATCGGGACCTACCAATGTTCACGAATGCATCCCGGGCAACGTGAAAAAACGGTTTACGCGCTCATCACTGCTGTCCGTTCCAGCGGACATGGCGACTCGCTCACTCCGGCGCTTGTTGCCCTTGCCAAGCCTCGTCCGCATTTCATTCTTCCGAGCAGATCCATGGCATGTACATCTTTACCATGCACGATCGTGCACGTGAGGTTCCCGACGCCGTGGTGCAGGCAGTGGATGTCGAAACTCGGGGTTATGCAGTTCGTAACCGGAAGTCCAACAAAGTGACCAGCGCGCGTTCGAGACGCAT